TGCTCCCAGGGATAGTTGCTTTTAGGAGCTCTCAGCTCAAAGGCTTATGATACCCTGTGTGTGTAATTCTCAATATAAACTTTTTTTAAAAAGTGCAAACATTACCAAGCCAAGACCATAGGAAAAACAATCCACCCAACAAAAGATTCAAGTAACTCCTACTGGTGTTTTCCTTCAGGCGGAACACAGGCTGCTGGAGAACAGAGCTGGGACAGAGGCCCTTATATCCTTTAGGGGGAGTTATTTGTTTGTGGTGTTTTGATTGGTTAGTTTTGGTATTTTTGCCACACTGGAATTAGAACCCAGGCCCTAGCCATGCATGGTGCTGCACACCTTTAATCTTAGTACTTGGGAGGCAGAGGCAGGCGGATCTCTGTGAGTTTGAGGCCAGCCTGGTCTATAGAGTGAGTTCCAGGGCAGCCAGTGCTATACTGTGAGACCCTATTTAAAAAAAAAAAAAAAAAAAGAACCAATCCCTGAGGCAAATCCTCCAGCCCATTTCTTCTTATTCGTTGATTCATTTTTACATTTCTGCAGTCCTAGGAATGGAACCTAGGACCTCAAACATGCTAGGCAAATGCTCTATCACTGAGCTACACCCCAGTTCTCTTTTTATTTTTTATTTTGAGACAGGGTATCACTGAGTTGCCCAGGCTAATCTGGAACTCACTCTGTAGCCTTGAATTTGCAATCCTCCTGCCTCAGCCTCTCGAGTAGCAGGGAGCATCGGCATCATCACCACATCTGGCTCCCTTACACTTTTTCCAAAACTGTATGATGCTTGAAGTGGAGCTCAGTGGTGGCACACATAAGGCCCTGGGGTCCATTTCTGCACCAGACCCAGTAAAGTCATGAATAAGTGTATAGTTAGTTGTGTGCTTAATATTTATTCGTAGTATATATGTTACATCTCAAAAAATAGGAAAAACAAAGGAGTATGAAAACCAGCAAGGGCTGGGTGCGACTCTGAGTGAAGCGCTTGCTCAGCATGTAGGAAGCCCTGGGTTCCACAGTCTTGCTAGGTGCCCTGGCACACACCTGTGATTCCAGCACTGGGGAGACAGAGTCAAGAGGTAAGGACAAGTTTGAAGCCAGCCTGGGCTTCATAAAGACTTGAGGCCAGCCAGGGCTATATAGCAAGACCCTGTTTAGAAAAAAAAAAAAATCACCCTTTACGGCAAGTCTTTTATCATTCTTGGGAACATGAAGTATCTCCTAACCTACCTCTCCCCTCCCCTTTTCTTCTTGCTAATAGAATTGGGAATTTACACTATGAAAGATCTGGAACCACCATGGACTCAGCTCACCCCCAGGGTCAGGAAGACCACATACAAAGTTGGTTCCAGCACAGGGAACCATCCCATCCTAACCATCAGAGTCCAACCCAGAGAAGTATCCAGTGAGAAAACTCATGAGTACACGTACACAGACATGGTTACATGTATGCTTCCTGGTCTGCCCCTGCATGCAGATGAGTAAGCATTACACAGACATATGCAAGCAGACCTTGTATAGAAACACAACTTATATGCACCACATCATCTGTGTCCATCCATATACATACCTTGCTGGGGGCAGATCCCCAACACAAGGACACAGGAAGTTCCAGGTACCTGCTTAGCACCACACCAACTGCAACCAGGTCTAGGACTTTTCATTCCAGAGTTAAGCCCACTTGGTGTGAAGGAGCTTACTAGTCACCTAATACTCCTGACCCTTTAAGTATATCTAAAGAATGTCAAGCCAGAAAACAAGACACTCCAATAATATGGATCACCCCTGCTATTCTCTGGCAGGAAGATAATCGTAATCCCCCAAGAAGCAAGGCCCAGGGCCCTGGAGTTGGAAGAGCATTAGGACAACATACACAATCATCCCATTTGAGCCTTTGACCACCTAGGATGTAGGGATTTTGTCTTTGTTTTAAGGAGGCTGACAGTCCTAAACGCAAGTGCCTGGTATCTAGAAGAGAAAGGACTTCCTCTGGGAAGCAAGGGATGAAAGAAGACATCACGATCAATGGTGATGCAAGAAGACAGGCCCTGTAGTCAAGACACAGCGAGATCTTACATAGCTACTGGACATCTCTGAGCCTTGGCATTCCGACCTCATAAACGAGCTCAACAAGATTTCCTAAATTGAGACCTAAAAAGTGAATAAAGCAACCAGGTGTGGTGGCTTATCCTAGAACCCCAGTATTCAGGAGGCTAAAGCCTGGGACAAAAGGCCAAGGGTGAAGGCACATGCCGGCCCTCAGGTGGTCATCCTGACCTATGTAACTCACTGCTAAGTGGTATGGTTTCATGTCCTCATCATCAGCATTAACATTTTTTTTTTTTTTTTTGGTTTTTCGAGACAGGGTTTCTCTGTGTAGAGCATTAACATTTTACAATGGATTCTGTCTTCCAATTTTGCATCTGTGGAGTCAGCCAACTATAGACAAAAAAGTAGTATGCTTCTACCAGACAGGCACAGACCTTTTTCCTCGCCATAGTTTCCTCAATAATACAGTATAATGATTTGCATAGCATTTACATTGTATTAGGTAAATACTCGGAGAGGATTTAAAATATGCATTAGTACATGTGTAGTTTACATGCAAATACATCTGTACAGTTTGGCATCTTCTGGTCGCCCTGGAATCAATCCCCTATGGACACTGGCAGGTGACTATTTTATTCATTTCTTTACTTATTGTGAAAAGGGTCAAACTCAGGTTTTTATGCTTGGCAAGTATTCTACCACTGGTCATAACCCTGTTCCCTGTTTTTATTATTTCTGTTAGACAGGATCTTACTCTGTGGTTCAGGCTAGCCTCAAATTCAAGCTCCTCCTACCTCAGCTCCTTGTGTGGTCATACACCACTATACCCGGCTGAGACATTGTATTATTGTTCATTTTCACGACAGCACTGCTCGCCTTGTTACTATCCCAATTTTAGAAACAAAAACGAAAACTCAGACAATTTAAGTAATTGTGACACTTGCCCAGAGTCACAAGTTTACATGAGTGGGAAGGTGAAAAAAAACCAAAGCTGTCTGTGGCCAGAGATGTGTCCGCCACAGCACTGATACAACCACCTTAAAGCATGCTGGGAGGTGGAAGGAGCACGGAATCCCCACAGGCAGATGGACCAGGACACAGAAGCGGCATGCGTAACATGCGCTTGGGTTGCTCAGTGGAAGCCAATCAATGCAGCTGAGCCGAAGTATTCAGGGGGGCTGGACCCCAGCGGCAGGGGTCTTACAAGTCCAGGCTGACGAATCAAGAAAAAGTTCTGTGCTGGGAGATGCCTTGCCAAGCCAGGTGGGAAGACTCAGTGCCACCCTCAGGGCTGGCAGTGACAAGGCTTGCCCTGGAGGAAGAGTGCAAACAGAAAGGCTCACACGAGTGTGAAAAGCAAAAGTCAGCAGGACTCGGGCACAAACAATCCACAAAGTCACCAGCACTCTCCGAGTGGGTTTTCACTTGCGCTATCCAAATCCCACCCAAGTCTAGGCTGCCCACGGGTTCCCTCAGGAGTGGACACTTCCTATTCTGGCTCTGCACTTGCTATTTCTGCCAATCACAGTATGGCTGCCTCTATCTCATCAAGTGGCACCTCATCAGGAAGCCCTCCCTGATGCCTTCAGCCAGTTATGTCTCCAGGATACATCACCTGCACCTTACACTGTTTCTTTTCCTGGGTGTTAACACTTCAACTATCTGAAACAATCCTGGTTATTTTTATTATTGTTATTTATTCACTCTGTCATCTCTGGCTGGAATGCCAGCTCTCTAAACAGATCACATCTGCCTCATACAGGCTCATACACCAACAGAAGCGGTACCTGCCCGCCATGGATGCTCACCATTCATCTATCTAAGTTTGCTCTCTTTGGGGGGCAGCGAAGAGACACGACAGAACCAAGGTTCAGAAGTAAGGCGGAGCCTGCCTAGGAGTGGGAGAGCTTTCTCCAATGTGCCTTCAGACTGTCATGTCTGAGGTAGTGTGTACTACCCAGTGGGGACAGGTCCCAGACAGGAGGCCGAAGCAGAGGACTACAGGCCAGAGGTCAAAAATGAGAAAAGATAAACATCTGGGGTTGGGGCGAAGAAAAGGGAGGCAGAGGGATATGAACGAGCCTGGGAGTCCCGAATCTTGTGGGAAGGAGAGGGTCCACAGGGACAGGAAGCTGACCCTGGGCAGGGGGTGATGGTGGGTGTAACAGACTATTTATGGCAGCATGCTTGTTGAAGAGTGTGAACGATGCTGTCCGCCCGGACTAACAGGAGTCTAGGACACACACGGGTGGCACAGGGTACTTACCCGCGGGACAGCATCTCCCCAGGAGTGGGGGGAGTCACCGGCCAAGGGCGACGGGGGCGGGGCCAAGCGAGTGGCACACAGCTGTTCAGGGATCCAGACCAGACCTTCGGGAAGAGTGTTCTGGTTCTCAGCCGCTTCCTCCTCCCTCCAGTCTGTCAAACCTAGGGCACCTTGAGGACAAGCCCCTGGCCTGCAGGTCCCGGAGGGAAGGACAGGTGGGGCGGGGCTGGCCGAGACCGCCCACCACAATCCAGTTCCCCCGAGGCCCGAGGCCGTGCAGCAGGCTTCAGGCCTGCCAGGGCCTACTTCTCTGGGAAGGGGAGGAGCCACCTGCTGCTCCACCTGAAGCTCACACTGACAGAGCCGCAGGAGGGCGGGCAGGGGCAAAGACCAGGAAGTAACCCTAGCCAGGGGACCGCCCCCAGCAGAGTACCTCTCAGACACTGGAAGGCAGAGGGCCCAAGGAACAGCCTTGAAGCCCTCTGCTCATAGAAAGTACGGCCTTTGTGAACAGACCTCCCAGGATGCCAAGAGGCCCATTCAGCCTCCCACCCCCTGGGAAGTAAGGGGCTCTAGAGAACAGGGTTGGTCCCCGAAAAGTGGATAGGAAGGACCTAGGAAGGGCAAGGCCAGAGGCAGTCGGGTAGCAACAAGTGGGGGTAGCCAGGACTACAAATGGATGACACCAAGGTTTAGTCACAAGCGCATTTATTATTCTCTGGAACACAAGGTCTTCTTCCCTAGCAGTGGCACACTGACAAGAACAAATCTCAGGAGGCAGCCACGCTGCTTCCGGAAGCTGGCCCGTGGGGCGGTAGTGTCATAGGCGGCAGGAACAGTGCCTTTAGCTTGCCCGACAGGCTGGCAATCTCAGGATCCTGGGCTTCGTAAGACTTGACTAGGCGGGCAAACTTAAGGACACCTGAAAGAGGGAGCGAGGACGCCTGCTGGAGGCCAGTGCGCTGAGGCAGGGGAGGGGTCCTTAGAGTAGGAGACACCAGACACGAGCTGATCTCCTTTGAACCAGGCAGCCACTTCAAAAGAGGACAGTTCACACGGCTGTCCTGCATGGCTTCAACCAACCCCCACCCAGCTTTCACTAGGCACAACTGGACACAGTATGAAAGAGTCCTTAAAGTACCCAGGCATGGTGGCCCACCCTTATAATCCCAGCACTTGAAAGGCAGTGGCAGGTGGATCTCTGAGTTCGAGGCCAACTCGGTCTACAAAGCAAGTTCCAGGACAGCCAGGGCTACGCAGAGAAACTGTCTCAAAAGAAAAAGCCCTAAGGCAGAACGTTTCTCACTCTCAGGTGAACCTGTTAGCTGTTTTACCTCAAGCAGCCTAAATATGAATGAGAACCCAGGTCTGCAAGTAGTCCCTGGCTAGCTAGGCCAAATCAATGAACACATGTCCTTGGGAAGAAAGAGCTCAATCCCCAACACCAAACCTATTACCTAAAACGCCTTGCAGGAAGTGCAGAAGGCCGCTGTTCAGATTAGAGCTAGGCCTGGTGACTCAAACCTACTGAATACCACCTACTCAGAAGGCTGAAAAAGGAGGATCTTTGGTTCAAGGCCAGCCTGGGCACCTTGGTGAGACCCTGACTCAAACAGAGCTCAGTGGTGGAGAGCTTGCCTAACATAAGGCCTTGGGTTGGGGGGGGGGGGGGGTCGGGGGTCGGGGGCAGCGAGCTCAGGCTAGGCCCTGAGCGCTGAGTGCCAATGTTTGATGTGACTGCCGCCCTGTGGCGAGAAACAGATCGACTCGGGGGCCGCTGATCATGAGCCCCACCCCCACCCCAGCGCATCGCCATCCCATGTGGGACCCACCTTCCCCGTCGCAACTGAAGCCATAGGCCTTAATAACCTCCTGCTGGATCTGTGTGGCCACTGGCAGCACGAACTGCAGCATCTTGCCCATATCGTTGCACGCATTGTCTCTAGCCTCGTCCATGCGCACGGCGTTCTCTGGGGCCGAGAACGCTTGGATCACTTCCGCCAAGACCACTGCAAACCCCAAGCATCCCGGAGCGGTCCGCGGAGCACGGCGGGCAAGCCCAGAGGAGGGAAGAGGCAGGGAATCAGTGGACCGAGGCGGTCGGTAACCCGATCAGCTCGTCCTCCCAACCCTTCGCCCGAATGGGCCAGGGCCCCACTTGGAGAAGGAACGGGTAGTAGAGCGCCCTCCCCCTAAAGGCGGCCCACGCCCAGCCTGGGCTCCTCACCCTTGGCCTGCTCTGCGCTCAGGGCCGCGGGCTGGGCCGAGGAGGACGCCATGGGACGCCAGTCGCTACTTGACTAGTGCAAAGCCTGGAGAGATCCGGAGGAGCCAGGCGCCGGCCGCCTCCTGCCGCGGCTGCCGGGCCAGTGCAGGAGGAAAGGAAGCTGTCCCGCACGAGGCGGAAGTGTCTGAGCGTGGACCTAGCACACGCACTTCCTACAGGACCCCAGCGAGAACAAACCCCACCGCCCACCAGGCCGGGACAGACACTATTCTTATAAACCAGGGAGTGGGAGGGGTTTTCCGACGGAAGCCAGAAAACCTGCTAGACAAATTCTAAAAGAGCTGTAACACTGCCCAGCCTCCTTTGCAGCGAGCCCGGGAAGGACGCGAACTCCACTTTCGGTGAGGGTGAGATCACTGTGCCCTTTCCCCTTCCCCCTACTAATATACGAATCACAAAGCACATTTTTATTACTCAATTCGGTAAATAATATTAGAGAGGACTACTAAAACCGGTCGTTTCTTGAGTTTGTGGCCGGTTGAGAGAGGGCTATGCAAATGACTCAATGCTGATTGGCTGGAAACAGCCAATCACAGCTCCGTTGTTATGAGAAAAAAAAAAAACAGGGCTTCGCAATAATAAAAGCTTGGAACGAAAGCCGATGTAATTGGCCTTGTATAGTGGTAGGCGATGTGGCCCGATGCCTTGTATTCTTAGTACAGGCTCTTGTCACCCATCCCCGCCTGCCTCAAACTGCAAGGGTAATCCAGAATGTCACGGGGCATAGTACTGCACTTCTGTGATACTAGCATAACAGATGAGAGGTAGGAGGGCCACAAGTTCAAGGCCAACTTGGGCTTCCATGACCTTGCCTCATTAAAAAACAGAGGGGGTGCAAAGATGGCTCGCCCTGCCTGGCAATCCTCGACTGCCTGTAACTCAAACTACAAGGGATCCAACACCCTCTTCTGGCCTGTCAGGCCCTTGCATTCGTGGGAACGGGCAGGAACCCATACACATAATACAAATATTTTTTTTTTCAGAGCTGAGGACCGAACCCAGGGCCTTGCGCTTGCTAGGCAAGTGCTCTACCACTGAGCTAAATCCCCAACCCCAAAATAAATCTTAATAAAAATCAGCAATACTAATCTTATTGGCCTACTGAAGTTATGCAAATTCAACTGTTTCAAAACCACTTATCAAACTATGCTATGGAAAGAGTTAGATCTCCAAAACTGTGTTTCTGGAGCACTCTGGTGGCACATTAGATGGATGAGTGCCAGAAGTGCTTCCAGGGTCTGAGGAGTTTTCTAGATCTGGTCATGCCCACTGTGGGCCTGTTCTTGCTCTCAAAGGCCTTACCTTCCCAATCTTGGGAGAAATCAGAGGACTAGTACGAGGCACCCCCATAAGCATAGCTGAGGATCCACGATCAAGAAATGCCCTACCCAACCCCACTCCTCCCCACTTCCCCTAAGACAATCAGACCTCCCACCCTACCCACCCCACCAGACCCACAGCCCCCCAAAAACAAGTCACAGACATCTTCCTGGGGAACTGTGAGGATGTTTTTGTTTGGTTGGTTTTGGTCAGGATGATTTTTAAAGAGCATCATATAGATATTTATATATATAAATTATTAATGTGGGACGGGCAAGGGGCACACATCGCCGAGGGGGTGTACACATGGGGTGGGGCAGGGCAGCACAATGCTACGCAAAACAGCCACATCTAACAGATGAGATAATCACACCAACGGGTGGGGGGGAGCAGTGGCCACCAAGGATCGGGTCTAGAGGAGAAGAAAAGCAGGGGATGAGGAAGAGGGACCTGGTCCAAGATCCTGTGCACGTTCTGTCCCCGCCCCCGCCCCCCCCACCTCTGTCCCTTCTTCCCTCCCTCCCTCCGCCCAGCTGCAGAAGCTCTGCACGTGGGCAGCACCCTTTCCTCGGCTTGGGGGTGGGGAGGGGGTCGTCAAAAGGTTGGGGGAGTCCTCCAAGGTCTGGATGAAGGAGCAGTGGATGCTCTCTGGATCGCAGGTTCTACAGCGGCTTGTCGCTTTCCTTCTTCAGGTGACTAGACAAGAGGCAAGGCGTCGGAGATGAGACTGAGGGAGGAGCGTCCCCTCCAGAGGGCCAGCACCCTGTTGGATGGGACCCGCCTCCCACCTCCCGTGTGCTCTGGGGCAGCCTGCAGTACCTGTAGTAATCTTCCTGGGCAGGCAGCGGCACGCTGTGCAACGGGTGATGGGCATGCAGCCACTGCTGCTGTTCCAGAGCCAAGCGCTGCAGCTCGGCAGACTGCGCGTGCATGGCCTGCAGCTGATGAGCTGCTGACATCGGAGCAGACAGGGAGGCCGGCAGGTCCCGGTAAGGGGCAGCTAGGACAGACAAGAAAGGCCAGGAGCAGGTGACTGACAGCTAGGGCACTCAGCCACTTTACAGACAGTGGGAACTAAGGCTACGATGTAGAGTCACACCACCTACCCTACCATCTGCCAGGGTGGAATGGAACCAGGAGTCCGACTTCTGGGCCTGGCCCTAGAGCTCAAGTCTCTTTGAGAAGGACCTCAGCCTGTGTGTTTCCATCTCAGCTCCTCACCTCTCTCTCCAAACTCCTCTAGGCCCACTAGACCACCCTACTTCCTCTGCTCTGGCCTTCCCTCACTTAGGCTTCTCCATCCCAACCTCCATCCTTACCAAAGAGCTGGTGACGAAGAACTTCGTTCTCGTGCAGAGGGTGAGGAAGAAGGGGGTTAGGGAGGGTCCCAGCTGGGTAGGGGATCCGGGTAAGGTGAGACCCTGAGGCCAGGGGGTCAATGAGAGGGTGCACCGAGGCGGAGGCTGGAGGGCAGAGAAAGGAAGGTGTCACCAGGAGGCAGGGTCAGGGACAACCATGCACCGGGGTGGAGGGATTTCGCCTGTGAAGACAGACCCCAGGGATGCAAAGCTTAAGGAAGGCAGGAGGAAAGAGCTCGAGTCCTGAGCTGGGAAGAAGAAACTGCTGGGGAAGAGACACGCTTGACTGAAGACAGATTAGTTAGCAGAGAGGGCTGAGGAGGAAAGAGAAGAATGGATTACTCTGAAGAGAAGAAGGGTAAGTTTAGAAAACTACTGATTTTTTAAGTTTAAGAAATGAGACAGGGAAAAAAATGTAAGAGGTGGGATGAGTATGAGCCGAATGAAAATGCCAAAAGCCCGGGCTGGAGAGATGTCTCAGCGGTTAGGAGCACTGGCTACTCTTCCAAAGGTCTGAAGTTCGGTTCCCAGCAACCACATGGTGGCTGACAACCACCTGAAATGGGATCTAGTACCCTCTTCTGGTCGGCAGGGATACATGTATCAATCAATAAATAAATCTTAAAAAGAAAAAAGAAAAAGAAAATGCCAAAAGCCTGTTGTTCTGTATACTTATAAATAAATACATGCTCTAACTGGGGGGAATGGGGGAGGGCGAGAAGAAACGAGCAATTCCAAATGACCAAGTCTACGGCCAACTAGGCCGTGTTCTGGGCTATAAGCGCGACGTTAAAATAGTGAGGAAAGCTCCTTATTGCCTATGGCACCAAAACCAAACTTACATGGATTTTTCCAAAAGGTTCTAAATCTACAGATGGGCAGAAACACAGAAGACCCCTAGATGTAAGGGAAGGAGATGTTGGCAACAGACGAGGTTTGGAACAAGAACACTGCTATGTGAGGGGCTTAGAGAGAGGAAGACAGAGAGGTGATCCTTCACAAGGCTCCAGCTTGGTCTGTTATCAAGGACTATGAAGAGGGCGTGAGACAGCGTGGACGGAGAGTCAAGGAAGCAGAGGTGAGAACAGTAATCTCGGGAGAGGGCGACTGACGCCAGTCTAAAAGGGAGGTTCTGGCCAGAGGAACGGGAGAACGCTATGGGATACGGCCGAGCCACCGTCCAAAGCCAGGAAACAGGGCGTCTTACCTGCATGGATGGCATCCTGCTGGTGCAGGTGAAGGTGAGAGTGGATATGGGAGTGCTGGTGGTGATGGGGAGTCACGTTGAGCATCTGCAGCCGGGCCAGTGGGTCATTGCCCAGGGCCGCCACCCTTTCTGCATGCTGCCTTTCAGCTGCCAGGCGCTCAGCGTAAGACATGTCAGGACGCAGGGCTGGCCCAGCTGCCAGCGCTAGCCGTTCTCGCTCCAGGGGCCCCAGGCTCGGATGAAAAGGGAAAGGATGCAGGCCAGGCGGCCCAGGCTGTAGGGCCAGGCCCCCGTGTCGGGGGAAGGGATCCAGGCCCGGCCCGGGGACCCCATGTAGGGGTTCCAGCTCACTCGGCTTCACCTCAAAGCCAGGCTTGAGCCGGTCACGGAGGTCACGTTCACGGGCTTCCCGCTCCCTTTCTCGGGCAGCTGGGTCGCTGCTGTACAGGGCTGGGACATTGTAACCCAGAAGCCCCGGGTCCACGGCCCCCAAGGGCACATAGAACGGGTGGTTGCGATTGCCAGGAGACATGACGTGAGGTCGGGCGTATTCACTGAGAGTGCGCAGGGCTGGAGTATCGGGACCTAGGTAAGGGGGCACCGTAGCCACAGCGCTGCCAGGCTCAAAGGGAGGCCGATGGGGCACTGGACCCAGAGACGGGCACTCCACCGGAGCACGGCCCTCCTGGGCCAACTTCTGCAGAACACACAAAGAGGCGGGGTCAGCACTGCAGCCGCGGGAAGCTACCGGCCCCGGGCTGCCCGACTGTCTCCGCGGTGGAAAGCCAAAATGCCTCACCCCACTCCCAGCTTTCTTTTCCTCCTGCCTGGAAGCCTGAGCTTTCTGGGCTGCAGCGGCTCCTCCCCTCCGCCAGGGGGCGAAGCGACCGGAGTGGCGAAGCCCGGCAGCGGGAGAGGCGCGCGGCGCACCTTGTGACGCACTCACCACACTGCGCTCCAGCTCGCGCTCTTTCTCGCGCTCGCGCTCCTTCTCGCGCTCCCGCTCGCGCTCGCGCTCCTTCTCCTCGCGCGCGCGCTGCTCGGCCTCGCGCCGCACCTTCTCCACCAGGTCGGCGCGCTTCTTGGCCAGCTTGGAGCCCTCCAGCGGCACGAAGTACAGGTCGCTGCGCGCGCACGAGTTGAAGCCGCGGTCCAGGTGCTTATTGAACCTGCCGGGCGCGGAGCTGTGAGCTCGAGCCTCCAGGGCGGCCCCCCCACCACCCTCCTCCCCCAGCTCGTGTCCCCCAGTCCGCACCGCACGGTGAACGTGATCGCAAGGCCCCGCTCGCCCCTCCGCCTTCCGCTCCCAGCCCCACCCGCACCCGCACCCACGGCTGCTCACCGGGCCGACTGGCTGGCGTGGCTGGGCACGTCCACCACCTTGGGAGGGGGCGAAGGGCTTCGGGCCGGGGGCACGGGACTCTCGGGGGCCTCATACTCTTCGGCCGGCTCCTGTTTGATCTGCGTGGCCGCCAGGGGCGGCCCTGCAGCGGGGGCCGCGGCGGGTGGAGGCAGAGCCGACAGACTGGAAGGCCCCGCAGGAGGCAGGGGCCCTGGCCCCACGGTGGGCGAGCCTGGCTTGAAGGTCCCTGGACCTGCTGGCGGAGAGGTGCCTCGAAAGCCGGGTGGGGTCCCCGTTCTGAAGGAGGGTGGTGACCCCGGTTTGTATCCAGGCGGGGTGGCGGTCTTGTAGGCGCCTGGGGATGGGGCTCTCTTGCTGTACTGAGGGGGCCCGGGTGGTGAGGCCGTCTTGTAGCCTGCTGGCGAGGAAGCCACGGTGGCGATGACAGTAGACAGAGTAGCTGAGGAGGTGGTGACTGGAGGAACTGGTGGGAAGGGGTAGGATGCCCCTTGGGGACCCTGGGATGAGGAGGGGTGTGAACATGAGTAGGAGGCTTGAGAGGAAGAGCCGGAAGCGTTGGAAGAGGAGGAAACTGGGGGGCCATTGGGACCTGCTTGGCTATAGGACACCTGGCCATGAGGTGGAGGCAGGTGTGCTGGCCCTGATGGGTAGGGCCTCAAAGACCCCAGGGAGGGTGACATGTTGTAAGGGTGTGCATGATGGGAGCTACTGCTCTCTAGGGGGTGAGGATATGCTCCAGGTGGAGGGGGCCCAGAGTTTCCATGATGATGTTGCTGCTGCTGTTGTTGCTGGTGATGGTGATGTGTAGGGGCTGGTGGGTGGGCTGTGGATTGGCCCCCAGTGGGAGGGTAAGGGCCTGGATGGGTGGTGTTGGCCAAGAGGCGGCCATAGGGGGGAGGGGGTGGAGGACCCTGGCTCCACACAGCCTGCGATGGGAGAGAAGGCTGGGTATACTTGGGTGGCTGATTAGCAACAGACATACTTGTTGGTGGAGGGAAGGAATGAGGGTAACTGGGCAGAGCCTGGGAAGCTGGGTACTGGGAGGCAGAGGAGGAGGAGCTAGAAGCAGCTGCTCCAGAGTTACTAGAGGATGAATATGGGTACCGCATTGGGGGCCCAGGGGCAGAGGAGGAAGAAGCTGGGGGCAAAGGGTGGGGTGAGGGAGCCAGAGTTGGACCCTTCTCTGGGCCAGGAGGAAGTCCACTCATGCCCTGACCCATGGCATGGGGAGAGGGCAGATGCCCAGGGATTGGCTGAGCCCCCATTCCAGGAGGAGAGGCTGAGGCGTTGTTGAGGGGTCTCAGGGCAGGTGGAGGCGGCAGGTTTGGTGTCACATGGGGGAAAGTGGCTGGTGGTGGAGCAGAAGGTAGGTTCCCACCACCCACTGGAGTATTGGGCGGCTTTGTTGGAGGGGCACCAGTGGCCCCAGAGCTTGATATTGAAATTGGGGTGGTGGGTGGGGGATGCTGCTTGCCTCCACTAGGGGCACTCACTGAAGAGGCAGCTGCTCCCCCTTTGGGACCCATGGGGGGTCCAGATAAAACACCTCCACCAGCATTCCCAGGGTAGAGCTGTGGGTGTGGGGGAGGGGCTCCAGGAGGAGGGCCCTGGAATAACCGAGATGGGGGTGGCTCCATTGGAGCGTGATATCCAGTGGGTGTCACAGAAGGATGGGGTTCAAAGCCAGGCTCTGGCTGCCGAGGAGTGCTGTCTGGTGGTGGAGGGGAGGGAGGAAAGAGTGGAGGTGGGTGGTAGGGGCGGGCTGGGCCCTGGGACAGGCCCGAAGATGAATCAGAGTCATTCTCCACACTTCCAGGGCTGTAGATGCTGGGGGATGTGCTTCGGTTATCCTGATCTATATCCCTAGGGTCACTGCTGCCATCATCATTAATGCTGCGCCCATCCAGGCTGTCCAGATCCGAGGGAGACTGTGGTCGAGGGAGCTCCTGCTGTCAGGGAAGAGGGCTCAATTTTCCTCTTTTCCTTTCCTGTTTCCCCAGGATTCAAACTTATCTCCCACAATCCTTTGCTCCTCACAGCACTGCTGTGCTACAGTGTGTTGGGGATGCTTGCTCAAGGCCACCTTCTGTCATCTAGCATCTCTCTCTCCCACATCTCAGCTGCTTTCTAATAGCTTATTTCCTTCCTTGTCAAACCCTGGTCCTTCTCAAGTGTCCATCTCAAACACTGACCCCTTACAATCGACTGCAGACCCTTCTTGCCATCTCCTGTCCAACTCTCATCCCTGGTCCTGTTAGCTGTCCCCAAATGCGTGGTTTCCTTGTTTTCTTTCCTCCTGGCTTGCTTTTCTAACAACAGTTTCATATAGCCCAGGCTGACCTCCAACTCACTCACCACATAGGACAGGATGACCTTGAATTTTTTGTTTTTTGAGACAGGGTTTCTCTGTGTAGCCCTGGCTTTCCTGGAACTAGATTTGTAGACCAGGCTGGCCTGGAACTCACAGAGATCTGCCTGCTTCTGCATCCCAAGTGCTGGGATTAAAAGTGAGCACCACCACCACCTGGCTGACCTTGATTTTTTTTAATCTTCCTGTCTTGTCTGAATGCTAGGCTAAGAGATGTGCACCATCATGCCCAGTTTTTAGATTGTATTAAGTGCTTGGACTTAGCACTCTGTACTAGGCAAGCACTCTACGGAGTGAGCTGCATTACCAGTCCCATTTCTGCATCCTCCTTAAGACTTACTTGTCCCTTCCTCAACGGAGGCTGTAACACCCTCCCTACCTGTCCAGTCCCCCATGGCCCTACAGTGAGCTGCATTACCAGTCCCATTTCTGCATCCTCCTTAAGAATTACTTGTCCCTTCCTCAACGGAGGCTGTAACACCCTCCCTACCCGTCTAGTCCCGTGGCCCTGCTTTGTCACTTACTGTTCGAACTAAAGCCTCAGGAGCCGTCTACCGTATTATAGACGAGACCACTCCAAACAAGCACCAAACAGGACTCTGAGATGCCAGCAGACATCAAAGCAGGAACGGTGCACAGCAGAAGTTTAGAGAGCATAGTCAGAAAGGTCACGGTCGTCACAATCTCTCACCTCAGTTTTGGTCTTTTTAGGTGCACTGGTCTCCTCACTTTCACTCTCGGAGATCTCCTCGCTTCGGCCCTGCTTGTTGGCCTTTGGGGTAGAGGTTTCCTCTACTCGGGCCTTCTGTTAGGGAGAAAGAACATGCTTGTCTTCTGTCTCCTAAGCCCCTGCCAGAGTTACTCCCTGCCAAACTTGAAACCCCCCACCCCCAAACACCCCTTCAGCTGCAGTGCGTCCTGTGGGGACCAGAGGAGGATTACCTTGGCCGTCTGCCTGGACTTCTCAGCTTTGCCATCACTGCTAGATGTGCTGACCCCTCCAGGGGAGGCCCGGCCCCTTGATCTCAGCTCTTCCCGGGGCCCGGGGGCCTCTTTCTTCCGTCCACTCCTCATTGACATCTGAGAGCGGGATGGAGGCAGTAGTGTTTTACATTGCACCTAACTTTAGATTATACATTGTTTCTGTTCTCCGCTGTAGGCCCTTCCTCCTAGCTTCCCTGCCCCTGCCCTTGACCTGGCGTACTGCTTACTACAGCTTCTACTCACTGAATCTTTATTCTGTCGTGTCTTCATTCTTCAGGCTGTGGAGACCCCATTCTCCTCTGCCTGGGCAGCTGAATACAAAATCTTGTTTGCTGCACCCCAAGCTCCCCACAGCTGTGGTCTGGGAAGCTGGAAGCAGTTGTAGGCACGAGGTACTCGAAGGATGTTTTCAGTGAAATCTGTTAGGAAAAACCATCAGCGTTTTCATACTGTAGCAGAAGCAGCAGGGGTCTGAGTAAGAAGCCTAGTCCTAAGGGTCAAGAGGTACAGACACCACAAGAGACCGCAGCTCGCTCCGCAGGCTACATCAGCTAAGAGACCCTCACAGTATATTCTCTCTCATCTCTAGGGAAGGCAGAAAATTCAGATGTACCTATGAACCCCAACCTAACACTTAGCAGGATTTTACCCTTTACAAGCCCTAAAGAGTATCTGTGGCCTGGTATGGTGGTGGATGCCTGTAGTGCCAGCATTCAGAAAGCTATGGCTTGGGCATCACATGTTCAAGGACAGCCTGAACTAGACAGCAAAATCCTGTCTCAACAACAACATCAAAAAAAAAAAATTGTACACTCATTAATTCCAGGGCCTTACAAATTCAAAAGCAGCACAAAGAAACGAGGCTGATGTGTTTACTGGGCATCTTCTTCGTGTCAAGCCCTCTACATGCACTTTCCTGGATCACCTCCAACACACTCTGCAGTGGGATTAGTAAGTAAGGAGACTGAGGCTCACTGTGACTGTGACCTGTCCCACCTTCCATAGGGAAGGACCAACGACAAAGCCAGAACCTAACCCTCTGCAATCTGACTTCAAAGGCACACTCACCCGCTCACTCTTCTACACTCTCCTCAGAAGTTGGAGAGAATTCTAAGAAGCCTAGATCAGTCACACAGATAACAATCTTGTTTCACATCACACAATGCAGAAGAATGTCCCATTCTACAATACTGAGTAGCACAGCCTCACCAGCTTCAACCCCAAATCGAGGCATCTTCGAAACTGTAGAACATTCTAGACAGCCTCATAAGGATCCATCCTCTAGTAGTTGGCCTTTTCCACTTACAGGGTTTTTGTCCAGAGAGTCAGCCAACTTGAACTGACAATGTTTGGGAGGAAAAATTCCAGAAAGTTCCAAACAAAGTTTGCATCTGTTAACATTGCCGCCCCTGGCTCAGTCTACAAGGATGCTATGTGGACACAAGCTGCTGTAATGGCGCACCTTTCACAAGCCCTAGGTCCCTCTCCAGCTTTGGTTCAACCATTGCTCACCTTCCCATGGCACGTCACCTCGGCTTTGAACAGGTGGACTTTATCAAACATTTACATGGAACTGGTTACTGTACATGATCCACAGGTGATTTTAAAAACATGGAGGATTGTGTGTAGGTACAAACAGATACAGCATCATTCCATACTAGGGACCTGAGTATGTGTTAATCTGGTATCTGTGAAGTGTACGGGAACAAATCCCCCAGATATCAAGGGAAGGCTGTACTGGTGTTTCCTGTGCTTAAAAGTCAAAGCTTTCACAGTAACCAGACTCAGAATACACTGACGGGTTGACTGAGGGAGGGTATGCACGTGCTATGACGTGTGTGTGCGGGTCAGAGGACAGCCTGAGTCAGTCCTCTCACCATGTGGGACCTGGGGATCAAATCCAGTTTCAGGCTTTGTGGCTCACTGCTCAGTGAGCATCTCACCAGCCCAACTCAAAACTTTTTAAATTTTATTTTATGGTACACTGGTGGTTTGTCTGCATTCATGTCTATGTGAGGGTGTTGGATCCCCTGGAACTGTAATTCCAGACAGCTATGAACTTCCATGAGGGTGCGGGGAATTGAACCCAGGTCCTCTCGAAGAGCAGTCAGTGCTCTTAACAGCTGAGCCATCTCTCCAGCCCCCTCAAAATATTTTAAAACTACAAAAAGACAAAATGTCAGTGAACATACAACACAGACTTACAAATTTTAAGCCTGTCTTTTACTTGGCATGAACAGCCTATCTACCTGTATCTAGCAGTACAAACATGGACATCATCATCTACCCGTGCATCCACAGCCATACATTTTCATCAGTACTTCAACTCCTGATCCTCCAGCCTTCACTCCCCAGTGCTGGGATTACAGAGTTCCTTGGTGCTGTGCACTGACTCCAGGGCCTCAGGCATGCCAGGAGAGTACACTGGACTGTGTGTATTTCTAGTCCCTATACTTGTTTATGTTTCTTGCTAAGAGTCAAACCACCCCATACTACTACCCATAAAATTTTTAAATTTAATTTTCTATGCATGAACGTTTTGCCTGAATGTATGTATGCGGATCACGTGTGTGTCTGGTCCCTGGGGAGGTCAGAGGAGGGCAACAGATACCCTGGAACTGGAGTTAGTGTGGGTGTGACCTATCCTGTGGGTGCTGAGAATAAAACCTCAGTCCTCGGCATGAGCCACAAGTTCTCTAAACCACTGAGCCATCTCTTCAGACAGTTTCTCTTGTCTGCTTGTCTGTTTCTCTGTCTGTCTGTCTCTCTGTGTCTGTCTTTCTCTGAGACAGGGTCTCACTCTGTAGACCAGGCTGGCCTTGAACTCAGAGATCTGCTTGCCTCTGCCACCTGAGTGCTGGGACTGAAAGTGTGTGCCATTATGCCCAGCCTGTAACATATTTTAAGTGCAAAAAATGCTACTTTCACAGTTTTCCTTTTTATATTTTCTACTGATGTCATGTACACACACAGATGGGGTTTGTTGTGTCCTTATTTGAGACAGAGTCACACAATGCACCTTGCACCAGCCTTAAACTAAGCCCAGGAGCCTTCCGTTTCAGTCTCCCGGCACTGGGTTTGTAAGCAAGCACCTCACCCAGCCAAGTGTACTGCTGTCAATGACCTTTAAACCAAGTGACTGTCAGTAGGTCCATTTGGTTACTGTTTTGAGGTCAGGTCTCAAGAGCTGGAATTACAGGCACACCCCAGGTTCGGTAGGTCCTTTGAATTAACTGATGTTAGCCCAATGGGAATAGACTAAATTCACCCACCCATTCTGAGTTGGGAGGTGCAGGTAAATGACATTTCTACATGTATTTTCTCCAAGTAACACAGAGTAATCTCTTTTTGCCCAACCCCACTGAACCATACTGAGGCAGGCAATGAGGAATGAGTGAGTCTAACATTTCCAGGAAACTTAGTAACTTATACTTAAGGGGCACAAAACAGATGGGACAGAGCCCCAAGTCTGAACTTTCGACTGACGCTTTGCCCAGTAAGCCAGTTTACTTCAACTACAGCTATGACCACATTTTTTTTTTTTAGTTGTTTGTGGATTGGTTTTTAAAATACTATGCATTACCAGGCATGGTGACACACATCTGTAATTCCATTACTTGGGAGGTGAAGGAAGGAGGACCAGCCACCCTTGGCAAATAGCAAGTTCAAAGCCAGCCAGTTCCATGAAATCATGTCTCAAAAAAATAAAACTACAAGTGAAAAAGAGGAAAGAGAATAAACCAATGTCCACAAAACAGCACGAAACAGAAGAAAAGGAGAAAATAATGTTAACAATAAGGACAACAAAGAACACTACCTGGGGCTGGCATCTGTCAGCCCTCCTAGAACATCTCCTCCCATCACAGAACTTGTTACCAAGTCAGTTTGATTCTTAAAGGATCCAAAAGGTCAAAAAATATACTGACGTTCCTTGGAGAACAGAGCGATTACTGTGTGCCTTTCTTACCTTTTTTAATCGGCTGAAATCTGATAAAATTTGCCATGAGTAGCTTTGGAAGAGAAAAACAGCATCAATGGGGCAGTAATTCCTGGGATAAGGCGTGGCAGAGGAAGGGGTAGAGCTGGAGACTGAGGTCAGGTCATACGTTAAGTCTAAACTTGAGTGGTACTCCATCTTGCCTAGAAGGCTGTGGCGAACTAACACTGAGCATCTGCCATGTACAAGAGCACCCATTTGCCCCCATTACCTTATTGTAGAAGAAAGCAAGGAAGAATAAACTCAGAAGGCAGGGAAACAGGAACTCAGAAAAGAGTCCCTAAGTAAGCAGAGGAAAGGGAATTCAGAGGGATTAGAGATGCAGATCAGTGGTTAGAGTGCAGGTCTGGCAGGCATGAAGCCCTGGGTTAGATTCCAACACCACATAAAACAGGGTGTGGCCCATGCCTGCAATCTCAGGACTTCAGAGGTAGGCAAGGAGAACACAAGTTCAAGGTCATCTTGTGCAGTGAGTTCAAGCCAAGCCAGCTTGGGCTATAGAAGACCATCTCAAAAACCAAAAAACAAAAACAAAGATTACTACCAAACCAACGACCAGAGTCAAACCATGGGACCCACATGGTGGAAGAAGAGAACAAACTCAACACCCAGTTACCCTCTGCCCTCCACATGTGCACCAGGGCACACACAAAAATAAATGTCATCCATTTTTCCAAAGAAAGAAATTAAGGAACAAATATGACAATGTCAGAAAATGACCACGTCACAGGCTCCCTGGGAAGAGCTTACAGAGTATATTTATTTCAGGATCACTGACTAGTCTCCACCATTCCAGACCTGCCTGCCTGCCTAACCATCAGCTGAAAATGACCGAGCTATCCATGAAGCCCAGACCAGCAGGGAACAATGCAGTAGCCTAAGTCTTATTAGAACCCAGGACTGTTGAAGGAGCCACAGAGGCCATTTCATCATACAACGAAGGCTCAAAGACGAGAAGTGACTTGCCCAAGGTCATAGAGGTACAGCCAGAGTACACCCTGGTCTCCCGGCTCCCGTTCCAGAGCATCCTGTTCTGCCCAAGGCTGTTTCATAGCCCTCTCCCCTGGGCCACCCACACCTGAGACAGGCATGAAGAGCCATGCCATTTCTGTTAAGTTCAGGGAAGTAAAAGGCCAAGGATCAGTTGAATGAAGGGGTCACCCTGAGAACTGACAGAAGAGAAATCCAAAGAGGACTTCAAGAAAATGAAGTAGTGCAAAGAATGAACCATTTACAAGACATAAGGGTGGCAGAGGCTGGAAATGACCAGGATGAGGTAACTTGGGTTTTTTATTTTTTGTTTGTTTCTGGAGCTCAAACCCAGAGCCTATGTATGCATACTAGGAAATAACATTACCACTGAGCTACCCCCAGCCCAAGACCAGATAGTTTGAACAACAGTATTTTCATCTTCCCACCATACCCAGGAGGAGGCTTGCAAGAATGACCTGCAAGCAACAGGGTTACCTGTTCCAACAGACTGCTGGGGGAGAAGGGGTGCACCTCCTTAGGAAACCCCTACTCGGGGCAACACCAGAAACATCTCCCAGAACCCCTCCCCAGAGTCCCTAGGACATAGCTGCAGGCTGAGGCCCAGTCTACATACTGAACCCCCACCTACAGGAATTCCCACTGGATCACAGCCATGGCAACAAAATGGGTGAAAAAAGTGCCCCTCAAGAGGCCATCCCAGGGGTCCATCTGGCAGCCACTATTACCACCACAGTTGCCAAAGCAACTCCCACCTTCTTACAGTAGTACCCTCAGGGAAGGAGCTTTAGGGTAACCTGCCCCGGGCACAAAGGGAGACCCCGGAGACCAGAGCATCACTGACGGCTTCCCAGATAGAGCCCAGCTGTGGGGCAGCCACAGCTCTGGCGATGAGGGTGGAGGTCACAATTCCTTGGAATGCCTACAAGATTGCCCAATTCTCTCTTCTTTCCCAACCTCCCAAATCCTCCCATCAGTATCCCTTCCTTCCTTATTAGTGTTAGGACTCACACTGCCGAGCCTCAGTGCCCCCTCCAACGAAGTAACTAGGTCTGGGATTAGGAAAACAGGGTCAGAGGTGACCTGGAGTGGGGAAAAGAAAACTGAGTCACAAAAGATACGGCCTTCCCATTTCCACCCCAGGCTTCTCAAAGATGGGCCTCTCCTGCTCCTTCCCCATTCCCCCAGGTTCAATCCCCCCTCTCTGCAGCTACAATCCTGTTCTTACCATCTACCACACCCCTCTCCCGGTTCCACTTCCCTTCTGTTCCTAATACCCGCAACCCTGGGTTCTGGAACCCGGGTTCTGGGCCTGCGGGGCTTCTGGAGCCTTCACGCCCCACCTCGCTGCCATCTCTCCGATCCGTCCTGCCTTCTCCGCGAACCACCCGCACAGCATCCCCCGTTTTACCTCCGCCAAGTCTCCACCTCGGCGTTCCTCCCCTTTAGGCTCTGGTCCTGGCGAAGCTCGGCCCCGTCAGCCCTCCTCCCTACACCCTCCTCCCCCACCTCCCGAGCTCGCGACTCCCGGGCCCGCGTCCCTCCTCCGGGCGGCCCCACCCCCTGAACCCCCAGCCTCGGGCCCGGCCGTGCCCGCAGTGAGGGAACGCGACCGGGAAAATAACAAATGGAGGCGGCGGCGGGAGGGGGGACCGGGAGGGGTGGGGCGGGGAGCCGAGGGCCGAAACGGGGCGGCCCGGGCGGGCGGCAGCGGACCTTACCTGCGAGCGGCTCGGGACGGCTGGCTGGCTGCGAGTGCAGTCGGGCTCCGGCGCCTCCCGGGGACGGCGGCGGCCACTCCCCGCCCCTCCTCGCTGCGCGGCTTCAGTCGCCGCCTCGGCGGCGGCGGCGGCGGCCCCGGCCCCCCCGGAGGGCGGCCCCCATGCCTCGCTCCCCGCGCAGCCCCGATCGGCTTCTCGCACTCCCCGCCCGCCCGCCCGGAACGCGCCGCCCGCCCCCGCCGCGCCGCCCGCCTCCGCCCGCACTCGCGGCCCCGGCGAGGCCCGCGACCCCCGGCCCTCCCGCCGCTCGTGCCGCGCGCCCCTAGCCCGCCCCGAGGCCAGCCGCCCAGAAACGCGTCCTGGCCCGAGGCCCCGGCCCGGCGCCGGGCTGCGGGCGGGCAGGCGGACGGGCTGGGCGGCGCGTCCGGCGACTCGCACAGGAAAGCGGACGGCGGAGGGAGGGCGCTCGGGAGAGGGGGATGGGAGCAGGGAGGAAGAGGGAGAAGGAGGGAGCGCGGAGGAACGGAGGAGAGAGGGGCCCGGAGGAGACGCGAGGGAGGGAGCGCGCGGCAGTCGGGGGGCGGAGGATCGGGGAAGGGGAGGCGCCGGGCGAGTTTGGCCGAAGCCGGCCGGGGCGCGGAGGGAGAGGGCCTCGCGGCGCAGAGCGTGGGGAGCTCGCGGGCCCCGCGCGAGAGGGCTGGGTGGGAGGGGCTGCGAGCTGTGAAGGCAGACATGGGGAGGCTGCCGAAGTTTGGGGACAAGGGGCTGTGGCAGGGGTGAAGTGGGAGGAGTTCGGGGGATCCTGAAGTAGAGATTGGGATAATGGGGCTATATTGGAAAGATGGAGAGGAAGGACCAGAGCCTTAGACTGGAGGTTGTTTAAGGAGCTGTTTCGGGGAGAATACGATGGAAGTTTGGAGACCTGGGCGGAAAAGGATGAAAAGATGAAGACATACTAAGAGAATGGTGTTTCTGGAAGAGATAAGAGTTTAAGGGGTGGTTGGTGTCGAAAAGAATGCAAACCACAACAATTTGGGAGTGATGAAGGGAAGCTGGAGGGAAGTCCAGAGATACTTCTGTGGGAGCGAAGGCAGGAGAGGTCTCAGAAGAGATTTTAAAAGGTGGGACCAGATGGCCATTCTAGAGGGAGACTGGGGTTTGGAGTGGGTTGATAAAACCAGAGGGTGGGGACTTTCGATCGAACTAAGAACTGTTTCCTTTGGCAAATAAATTGGAGGAGAATGAATTAGAGAGGACTGGGAGGAAGTACAAGATAAATAGGATCTTCGTGGCATCATGGCGGGAGGATCAGTGATGGGAAAAGAGGGAGCTGAAGATGGAAAACACTGCGGAGAAGTGACAGAACGGGGGTGGCAGGCCCTGGCATTGAGGTGACTGAGCAAGGGCACTTCACAGTTGGGCCCTTCCATTTACTAGTGTAATCGTTTTCCGTCTCAAGTCTGAAGTCATGACTACTAACATCTTCGGCCATAGTCGCAGAGGGGATGAAGTGGAAGGACCTAGACACATCCCTTAGGTGCCCTGGTTCCCTGCAACAATTGTTGGAATATGGAGGCAGTCCCCAGCACAGACCACAGCATGGTCTTCCTAACTCTCCTCCTGTCAATGTGTCAGTCATGTCCAGGCTACGGCCATGAAGTCAGCACCCCCACCAGTCCACCAGTGCCTTCTTCTGGGCTCCCTGTCTGGCCCCACACCAAGCAGCAACATCTCTCAGGACAAAGGACACTAGAGACAGGGTGATTTTTGGCAGCTGAAATTGGGAAGGCTAGAGAAAGGGAGGGAGGCGGGCTGGGAAATGGGAAGAGCTGGAGCTGGAGTCTGGATTGGGAGCCCTTGGTGGTTCACCAGTTTGGAGTGGTGGTAGGGCATCTGTGGGGCAGTCTAGCTGCAAACCAGGTACGTGGAGTGGGGGCGCTGAGTGGACAGACTGCCTTTAGGGAAGGAAGGAGAAAGGCTGGCCTTGTATCAGCTCAGTAGATCTTGTGTTACCATTCCTTAGGCCAGAGTCAGCCAAGTTCTTGAACTTGCCCAAAAGCTCTAAACAGATTCCAAAGCACTAGGGAGACAGAGCAAGAATCCTCCCACCATCACCCCACCCTGAAACCCCTGCCTCTGCAGGGACTCACTTTTCCCCCATGCCCATCTTCTGGTCCCCTTGCAGGGCCTCCCAGAGACCGGGTCGGCTCCCTGTCCTCTTGTGCCCTGTTGCTTCTTCTCTGTGCTCCAGGATGCCCTCTGCTCCTTCCTCCACCAACTAGTTTTGCTGAGACTCCTCCTCCTTCTCCCCCCAGCGCTTCCTCTCTTTCCTTTAGCTCCCACTGGGCCTGGCTCAGGCCCTCTCCAAATCCCTTCTAGACTGAGCTCTCCTCCTTGTTTAACCACTAAGGCAAACGCCAACATGGTAACTTTCTAAAAGAAAAAATTCAGGCCTAGGTAAGGACAAGGAGTAAGACCAGAAAAAGAAGCCAGCACTACCCGTTCTAGTTCCTCCGGTACCCAAGGCCAGGCTCATAGCTTAGCTGCTGGGAGCATCACACATACACTCCACCCCCATCCTTCACCCCAGCTCCTTCTCTGGCCCCAGCCCCCCACAATCCGCTGGTCTCCAGGCAACGGCACAAAAGGAAAGTAGAGAGGGGCCTTGGAGGCCCAAGCAGAGCTAGCTGTAACCCAATCCAACCTAGTACCTGGAGGGGGTGGGAGCTCTGTCGGAGAAGGACAGCTCTCTGGGATCGGGGAAGAAAAGACAGGGTTTGGCGGCGAGGTGGCTGCAGCTCCACTAGCCCTGGCCAGCCTGGGGGTTTCTGAGAAAGCAATCGCAGAGAAAAGTGAGCCCCCTGGGAGACATACAGGGGTGCTAGGAGAGAAGGGAAAGCTGAGATGGTTACCTAGAAACTAAGAGGTACAGGGGAGGAGAGAGGGCAAGAGGTTCTTTGAACTGAAAATAACTGAGGGATTCAGGAAAGGGGGCAGAAAGAGATGTGGCCCCTGCCCATTCTCCAGTGACAGCTTCTGTTAGCCCTAGAATGAGAAGCCTGGGACCAGAACTCAGAATGGAGGAGAGGCAGGCAGAGGGTGCAACCTTGAAATTCTTCCCGCCCCAACCTCACCTTGGCATCTAGTATGGTGTCCTGCAGAACTTGGGCTCCCTCTAGTGGCCACAGCTACCCATGGGCAGATGCCGCCTGCAAGCATGAGCCCTTGTATCCAAACCATAGTCATCATGTAAGAGGATTTGACTCCCAAGATGGTCCCTAGGCTGAGTGGTTCAACGCCACAGCCCCACTGGGGCGGAAAAGTTAGAGGGGGCCTCTAGCCACACCCTGATGTCCTCCTCACAGTCTGGCCGTCCGGGGAGGCTGTTAAGCACTTCAGGTGTTGCAATCAGTATACTGAAGAACTCAGATTCCTCAGGCCCACCTCTATACCCATGGGACCATTCTTCCATCCCCTTTACCCTCCGTTCATAGTCCAAAGAAGTCGGATGCATGAAGTCCTGTCTCATTTCAAAGCAACCCAAAATTCTGTTGAGGAGGCTCTATACAGGAATGCTTTAGTTTTAGTCTACCACTTTAGTCCTTCTTTGGTCAAAGACTTTGGGAACCAGAAACCTTACTCCTCACCCCAGATACACACTAACCCTGACACTTGAGGGATTCCTGGACCGAAGGTTAAGAATCCTTAGTTCATGAAAGAAAGAAAGGGGGGGAGAAAAGAAGGTAAAATCAGATCTCTGAGTTTGAGGCTAGCCTGACCTACAGAGTGAGTTCCAGGACAGTCAGGGCTACACAGAAACCCTGTCTCAAAACAAAAAGACAAACAAACAAACAAACAAAAAGGTAAAAACAGCATGGACCCCCACCTACTCACAATGCCACAGACTTGGTCATATGTTCAGTGGCTCTCTTTTTGTGCCCTCCCCAGCTCTGTGGTCGAGTGTCACCAATATCCAGTCCTTCATCTCCCCTCCTCTCACATGGAGCAGAGAGTAAAACTCCTCAGACACGGGGCGGTGCATTGTGATTCAGACTTTAATAGTGGTGCTCATTTCAAAGCCCCAGAGTCGGTGGCGACTGTGGAACATGGCATGGGGGAGTGAGGCAGTGTTCTGGTGAAGCTGGAGAACTGGGGAACCTAGGGCTGGGGAGAGCGCCGTGGGAGAGAAGCCCCACAGGCACACAGCGCCGTTCTGTGAAGTACCAGGCTTCAGTCAGTGCACTAAATGAAACAATTGCTAAGGCCCTTTTCTGTTACCCTTCCCATGCTAGCAAAATCTCCCATCCTGGGTCACCTTGGGATGTAGCCACATGAAAATATGGATGTCCAATTTTGTCAAGTCTCATTCGTCAATTTCAGACTATAGTTATGGGGAGCTGACTGATTGACAAGCTGAACAATAATTAAATAATTAAATAAATAAATAAATCACACACACACACACACACACACACACACACACACACACACACACACACGCCTTACCAAACATGATCTCACATCCAGCACTCCCCAAACACCAGTTCTATGCATAGTTCATAGCTTATACACAACATTGAGGACAGTAAAGCCCACGTGCCACATGGCCCCATTGCCCTGTTCTAAACACCTCAACACACCAATCCTGAAGTTCCTGTCAGACACTGATGGCTCTTCTGTGGATCCCCTTCTAATCTTCATTCTCATTTCCAGTTTTTTAAGAGAAGAGAGAATAGACGGGAAAGCGGGAAGAATGGAATCCCCAAAAATGGGGCCCAGAGAGGAGGAAGAGCAAAGACAGCAGGGGTGTGGAAGCCAAGGACAGCCAGAGCAGGCGAGCTGAGGTGTTTGTTCTGGGTGACTCTGGGTGAACTATGGCAGGTCAGGACAGCGAGAAGGGGGTCCCGGGAGGATGAGATGGAGGTTCCAGTCTCCAGGCAAGCAGAGGGATCACAGCACACTGGGGTTTCGGAAGTTATGTCCCGCGAAGCGAGCTTCATCCCCCAGCTCTTCTTCAATTCTGAGAGATGATCCAGAAGGGGAGCAGTCAGGGGAGCAGGAGGGATCTAGTTCTCTCTCTGGGTCCCTTCACACTCCTTCTTTGTGGACTGCCCCAAGGTGAACATTCCCTGGCTTTAGTGTGACCTTAGTGATCTGTCAATCAGACCATCCCTAAACCCTAAACCCACTAGAAAGTATTTTCTTGGCATCAACTACTCTCCAGGACCCGGATGCTAGAGATGGAATGGTGGCCTAAAGGGGTGTTTAGTCCTGGGCCTCAGGTTCTTGTTCTTCGGGGATCTGCCTCACCTCATGAGCTGGTTGTACTTCGCCAGACGTTCAGATCTGCATGGGGCACCAGTCTTGATCTGAAACATTCCAGGGGATATGCAGCTTAAAGATTTCCTTCACCTGATTGAACAGCCCTACCCCTCCTCTCCCCCATCCCATTTATTTTGAGACAGTTTCATGAAGGCTGGTCTCAAAAGTGACGGGCTAGCGTTGAATTCTTGATCCTCCCGTCTCTGCTTCCCAGGTGTTGAGACTATAGGTATGTGCCACCAAGTCCAGGATGTTTGGTTGGTTGGTTGGTTTGGTTTTCAAGACAGGGTTTCTCTATGTAGCCCTGGCTGTCCTGGAACTCACTCTATAGACCAGGCTGGTTTTGAACTTATAGAGATCCTCCTGCCTCTGCTTCCTGAGTGCTGGGACTAAAGGCGTTCGACATCATGCCCTACCTTTATTTATTTATTTTTTTAATGGAACCCAGGACCTTGCACAAGCTAGGCAAACACTCTGTAACTGAGCTAAACTGAGCCCTGAAACTTTTTTTCTTTTTCTTTTCTTTTTTCTTTTTTGGTTTTTCGGGACAGGGTTTCTCTGTGAAGTTTTGGTGCCTGTCCTGGATCTCGCTCTGTAGACCAGGCTGGCCTCGAACTCACAGAGATCCGCCTGGCTCTGCTTCCCGAGTGCTGGGATTAAAGGCGTGCACCACCACTGCCTGTCAAGCCCTGAAACTTCTACTCTGCATTTGTATTAATTAATTAATTGTAAAAGTCAATATTTTATTTAGTGTCTGCTTGTATGTCTGTGAGTCTGCTCAGGCCATGGTCTGCACGTGAAAGTCAGAGGACAACTGGTGGGAGTTGGTCCTCTCCTTCCAACATGTGGATCCCGGGAATCAAACTCAAGCTGTCAGTCAGGCTTGGCACCAGGCTCCTTCGCCTGCTGAGCCATCTCACCAGCTCAAAATTTCCACCCTTCTCACTCTGGTTTGTTAAGACAGGGCCTCTCTGCACAGCCCTGGCTGTCCCGGAACTCACTCTATAGACCGGGCTGGCCTCGAACTCACAGAGATCCACCTGCCTCCCGAGTGCTGGGACTAAAGGTGTGTGATGCCAATGCCTGGCCTAACTTCTGCGCTAGAACCTTCTCTGATTCTCCATCTTCTGGCAGGGGAGTAACCACCTGGGCCTAGAACCCATCAGCCCTACGAAGAGCTCTCCTAATACCACAGACTGCTCCACTCACCTGGCCTGTGCACAGTCCCACTACCAGGTCAGCAATGAACGTGTCCTCCGTTTCTCCAGAGCGATGACTCACCATAACCCCCCAGCCATTCTCCTGGGCCAGCTTGCACCTGCAGTACACACCAGCACTGACCTTCTGCCCCGAGGCATAGGTATTCCCTCCCAGCCCCAGGCTTGCTCTAGGTCAAGGAACGCCTGGAGGAAAGTGACTAAGGGGAGGGGGGGGGGGGCGGAACATAAGGTATAGAGAGAACAGACGTGAGAGAATTGTGAAGGGTACCCAGCTTTCATCAACATTCCAGGGCAGAATCGGGCTAGGAGGACTCGAACGAGGGATCCTGAAGGAACAAGGGCCAGGTGGGAGAAGACAGAAGCCACTCACGCTTGGATGGCCTCTGTGACTGAGCCGATCTGATTGACCTTGAGCAGCAGACAGTTGCAGGCCTTTTCTTCCACTGCCCGCTCGATCCGCTTGGGGTTGGTCACAGTCAGGTCGTCGCCCACTACCTGGATGCCACCATTAGCTGTGAACTTGGACCAAGCTGCCCAGTCATCCTGGTCAAATGGGTCTTCAATGGAGACCACTGGAGAGGGAGTGGAGAGGGACTGTTGACGCTTCTTGAGCTCTGGAGGGACACCCTCCTTGACTTCCCAGCCAACAAAGCCTCCTCATCCTTGTCCCTCCACCCCCCCACAAAGAAGCCTGCTGGGATTCCTGTCCCTTCCTACAGTTTTTAGGAACCCGGGAGCTGGCCTTCTCTGTATCCTCACCTAGTTCTATTCCTACTGCCAGGAAGTCCTTCCTCATTACTAGTCTGGCTCTTTCCTTCTCCACTGGTATCTATTTCACCTTGCTCTGTCTCAGGAAGATGGAGACCAGCTGCCTCCACGGAGTGGGGCAGAAGCCTTTGGTAGATATGGAGACTCTGTAACTCAGTGATCCTTTCGCACCAGTGCCTGCCTTCACCAAAGATACTGAAGCCTGCTGCTTTCCTTACATCCATCCGTGTCTCCCCATCCCTGCTCCTTCCAGAGCCCTTCCTAGGGCCCAGTAGCTCTTAGAGCCCAGGTTCTGAATCAGATGGAGGAGACCCATCCCAGTTCCAGGCACATCTACCTGCCACTCAAAGCGTGGCTCTGCAGGAACCTCCTTCCCCTTCTCCCCGCTTCTCAGGCTCCAGAGGATATTACCTAGCACCAGACTGCACCCCATCAAGTTCACAGGTGTCCTACGGGGCCCTGCCTATTCTGCTCTCCCCATTTCCTATCTCCCCACATCCCTTGCTCTCACCAGGATAGTTCCGAACAAAGTCCTGGTAGAGTGCCCCCAGCTGGTCCCCAGTGATGTATCGGGAAGGATCAGCGGGAGACTTGAAGTCCAAGTCATATTTGCCATTTCGATAAAACTCGGAGGCGGCAACATCCATGCCAATCACGATCTTTTCCGTGTAGCCAGCCTTGTCGATGGCTTCCTTCACCAGCTCCAGGGCTAGAGACAAGCACAGTGAAATTCTAAGTCGGAGAAATAGGTAGGAAGGAGGGAGGAAAAGGAAATTAAGAGTGGAAGGAGAGGACTGTGGTAGGAGAGGTATGGATAGGCTCTGGGGAGACAGAGGAGTGGAATTCCCTTCCTGGTAGTGTTGGTCCCCTCCCCTCAGCCTCTCCCCTCCACTCCCACTCCACCACACCTCATCCTGGTGCTGGGTCTTGAACCTAAGGCCTCATTCATTTGAGGCAAGTTCTTTGCCCCTGAGCCACATTCCCACCCCTTTTTCTCTTTCATTTTGAGAAAGGGTCTCACTAAGTTGCCCAGGCTGGCCTTGAACTCACTCTGTACCTTAAGCATACCTTGAACTTTCAATTCTCCTTCCTCAGCCTCTAAGCAGTTGGGATGATAGGTCTGCACCACCAGGCCTGGCTAACAGTGTGTGTGAGTGTGTGTGTGTGTGTGTGTGTGTGTGTGTGTGTGTGTGTGTGTGTGTGTGTGTGAGTATGCTTTAAGATTTATTTATTTTTGTTTTATGTGTATTAAGTATTTTGCCTGCCTGTATGTATGTGCTTCATGGGCATGCTGGTGCCCACAGGTGCCAGAAGAGAGTGTTAGGTTCCTGGAATCACATGGGTGCTGAGAACCAAACCTGAGTCCTCTACAAGGGCAGCAAGCGTCCTTAACCACTGAGCCATCTCTCCAACTCCTAATAGCGGTTTTCTTTGGTATGACATCATATTAGCATTTTACATATATTATCTTATTTAGTCCTCAATGGTATTTGTAGAACTTGGATTATTCCTTTTTGTTTTGAGATTGGTTCTCACCATGTAGCCCTAGCTAACCTGGAACTCTCTGGGCAGACCAGGCTGGCTTTAAACTCAGAAATGTAACTGCCTCTACCTGGAATTAAGGGTGTGCACCCCCATACCCTGCTCAAATGCTTAGTTCTTGCCTCCCCCTTTTTTGGTTTTTCGAGATAGGGTTTCTCTGCGTAGCTTTGGCTGACCTGGAACTTGCTCTGTAGCCCAGGCTGGCCTCGAACTCACAGAGATCCACCTGGCTCTGCCTCCCGAGTGCTGGGATTAAAGACATGCGCCGCCACCACCTGGCAAATGCTTGGTTCTTAAAAAGATCACTTCTGCATCTTTATTATTATTATTCATTCTCTTTTCTTTCTTTTTAGGCATGGTTTTATGTAGCCCAGGCTGGCTTCAAGTTCATAGCAACCCTCATGCCTAAACCTCCCAAGTATTGGGGATTCCAGCCAATAACGCTTCAATGTTCAAATAAATGCAAGTAATCAGATTCCAGAGCAGAGTCTCTGTACACTTGTGTATCAATATGCATGCATTTACATGTGTGTGCGTGCATGTGTGTACACTTGTATGTGGTGTGGTGGCCCCAGACAGGCTGAGCAGGCGCTCTATCCCCGAGCCATACCTTCAGCTGGTATCTTCACTTTTAACCATTCCCTTTATAGTTAGTCCCCCCTCTGCAGCACAGAAACTGTGGGGATCCTAGTCACCTTCTGCGAGCCTGGGAAGGGGGTGAGACTGATGTGTAACTGCCTTCCTAGAGCATGGTGCATGTGGCATTACAGGATAAAATAGATCTTACCCAGACCACTTCCCAATGTTTTCACCAGTTCCAGCGAGGACCTATGCTAACAGATTATGCTAGGCAGATAAAAGACTGATATCCAAGGTCTATGTGTGAAATCAGAAGGCCCCCTGGAGTCCGCCCTAAAGACTGGTACCTCCTGAGATTTTCAGAAGTTCCAGGACCTTCCACCAGTACCCCTCAGAACCCAAGTGTGCCACTTTCCCAATGTGAGACTCAGAGCTGGAGTAAGGGCTCCGGCCTCACCTTCACTGTTCTCCAGGATGTTGGGAGCAAAGCCACCTTCATCCCCCACGTTAGTGGCGTCCTTGCCGTACTTGTCCTTGATGACCCCCTTGAGTGTGTGGTACACCTCTGCCCCAAGTCGCATGGCATCCCGGAAGCTCTCAGCACCCACTGGGAGGATCATGAACTCCTGCATGGCCAACTTGTTCCCAGCATGAGAACCACCATTGATCACATTAAAGGCCTGGGGAACCACAGATGGTCAGATTCAGAGTCACAGATGAGTCAAAGAGCCTTTCCCTCCTGCCCCTGGGATGGGGTCCCCCAAATGCCAGGCTCAGCTCTCACACCCCCAGCCTTTCTCTTGCTTCCCCTCATCCCTCACCGGGTTGCATGCTCCCTCCTCCTCGAGGAGGCTAGGCTCACCGGCACAGGCAAGATGAGGTCTGAGTTCCCAGCCAGCTGAGCGATGTGGCGGTAGAGGGGCAAGTCCCTCTCGGCTGCCCCAGCCTTACACACGGCCAGAGACACACCCAGGATGGCATTGGCCCCAAACTTGGCTAGGAGATTACAGAGGAAGGCACTGAGCGAAAATGTCCCTCTCTCTTGTAGCCCCTGCCCCCACCTATACTCCCTAGAAAAGCCAATAAATGAGACCTCCCACCCCCATGCTCCACCCCCAGCAGGGACTCATTCATTTTCTACTACAAATAGTGGGGTTGGGGGAGGAAGTAACAAGGAAGGGAAGGCCTCACATCTTCCTAAACATCCCCCGGACTACGTCCATGCCAACTCCTGTCTTTCTGTCTAATGTCACTCCCTCCCTCTGCAGTGGCTTTGGGCGAGGAAGGAGGAGGTCCTCTGACACTCACTGTGTCCCCAGCACGGCCCCTCCAGTTCTTTGTGCTTTTCTATTCCTCCTAGCCCAGCCCCTGCTTACATTTGTTCTCAGTCCCATCCAACTCCAGCATCAGGTTGTCCAGTTTCTCTTGCTCCACCACGGAGAGACCCTGTGGGCAGAGCCCCCATTACCCAGAGCCAAGGTGGGGGCTGGGCCCTAAGACGGAGGGTCCCCCTCATTCACACACAGTCTTCTGTGTGAGCAAGGTCCCACCGGATCCCTGTGACAGCGGCCTGCTCTGCCAGCTTTAGGGACCGTGAGCGCCTGCAGGGGCAGTTAGCAGTATTTTTCCACCCTTCCCTTTGTAACCACAGTTCCTAAAGAGCGGGCTTCTCTGCCTCCCCCTGTCCCTCCCTGGATCCAAGACTTCTTCTAGGACTCTGGTCTAGCAGCCACCCCCAGGAAAGAGCGGGCCTCACTGAGCTGATGAGGGCTGGTGCAATGGTGGTGTTGATGTGGTCCACTGCCTTCAGGACACCTAGAGAGAGGAAGAAGGGCTGGTCAGTCCAGGAGCGGGTAGAGAGAAGAGGAGGGGGAGGCATCAAGGGGGTGGGGCATGCTAGGAGAGGGATGGCATCACCTTTGCCTAAGTAACGCTGTTTGTCTCCATCTCTTAGCTCCAGGGCCTCATAGATGCCAGTGGAGGCTCCACTGGGGACTGCAGCCCGGAAAAGACCTGGAAGAAGACATTCAAGGAGGAAGGAGAGAGGAAACTCTGGGCCAAGGATTCTTGGAGCCTTCCAGCCGAAACTCCCACCTGCCACAGCCAGACTTGTCCCCATACTGTTCCCTGACACAGACTCACACACACTCACATACACCGTCAGCTGCACAAGCAAGGCCTCCTCATCCGCCCATCTGAGGCCTCACAGGCACGTGTGGGAGGCCACAGAAACAAAGCTATGCTAGGCAGAGCATGCGTGCTCCAGTGCGCGCACAGGCACGCAGACAGACCTAGAGGCAGGGCCTTTCTCACTCTGGACTAGAACACAGACCCATCTAGCCTGGCTTCACAAGTCGAGGAAGATCAGACTCCACAATCCAGCCCTGGGAACCTGGTCTAGCACCCCCTGGCCCCTGATATGAAGAAAAAATCTCTGAAACCTGCCAGACCCAGCATAGGGGAAGTGGGGGCTGAGGAAAGCCCATGCCCCGCCCATCACCTTTGGCAGTATAGAGATCCACTTCCACGGTGGGATTCCCACGGGAGTCCAAGATCTCTCGGGCCCAGATCTTCTCTATAGACATGATGATGGTTGGAATCTCCTTGGGTGGAAGTGAAGGAAGGAGAAAGATAAGAGGCTTAGAAGGGCGGAGCCTGGGGCCAGTGGGCGGGGCCAGAGGCTGGGAGGGCTGGGAAAGAGGTTACTGCAGTGGGTAGGGGGTGGGGAGGAGCTGGCTGCAGTCAGCCTCTGAGAAGGGGTTCTCCCTCCCCCCTGGAGAGAGGGAAAGGTCAACGCAGTGAGGAAGGGGAGGTCACTGCAGTCGGGGCGGGGTACATCTCATGACAAGATGGGAGAACACCGCAGTGAAGAGGGGAGGGCTCGACAGCGAATTCTTCGCCCCTCAGCAGCTTCGCCGACCATTGGGGTTCCCCTAGACTTCCCCAGGCGGGATGGCTGCCAGGCTGGCATTTTTTCCCTTGGATCTTGGAACAGGAAGAAGAGGGGTTGTCTGGGCAAGTGGAGCCCCAACTTGACAGCCCCCATGCACAGGGTCTATACAACACTCCGGGGTCGTCACCTCTCTCCCAAATATGAATTCCTCCTCTTTTCAAGAGGAGTCTGGAGACAGCATCCTGGGGCCTCCAGTCCCTAGGTGCTGCAGTGGGGAATGGTGATGTAGTCCAGGCTGGACCCATCGTCTTCCCTACCCCCAGTCAAATTCCCCACTCCTCTCCTCCCTCCCCCATGCATCGGAGAAAAGGAAATGTCAAAAGAGGAGGAGGGACAAAAGGACGAGTCTAGAACAAGTCTGAGGCAGCCAAGGAAGGGTGAGAGAAGGTATATCCCCAAACGCAAAGCAAGAAAGGACGTGCCAGGAAAACACGCGCTGCCCGCCGAGACACATCGAACTTAAGAAACAAATCGGCAGGACCCTAGGCGAAGACCGGCGAGGGGAGAGGGGCAGGCGAGGGTGGAACCGTGCAGTCAGAGAAGCGGGTGCAGAGAGCTGGTACCTCAACCTGGAGGAGGTAAGCGCCAGAAAGCCGGGAGCTGTCCGGGAAGGCCCGGGATGGAGGGTGCTGGGGAAGGCAGGTGACAGGCAGGTATGCAGCGTCACCGGCCCGGCGGGCCAAGCCCAGGACAGCGGGGAGTGGACGCGGCGAGGAAGGGGGATGCGGCCCGATCCGGGCCTCACCTCGAGGACTGCAGACTCAGCCGGTGGCGGTGGCGGTGGCGGTGATGACGGCGGCGGCGCAGAGAGAGCAGGAGTGGCGGCGGCTGCGGCTCCCAGCGCGGGCGGGGGGCGGGCAGGGGGCGGCGCCTAGAGAGCCGGGCGGGCGCATGTGACCCGGAGCCCCCGATGAGTCAAGAGCTGCAGGCGCCGACGCACGTACGAGCGCGGGTGGTGGTGGGGAACCAAACGGGTGGGGGAAGGGCCGGGGCGATCCTGGACCGGGAGAGGCACCCGCTAAGCGCTCTAGCGCTCCCAACCTATGTCCAGCCACCTCGAGGGAAGCAGGCACCGCCTCACTCCTGTACTGCGGCAGGTATTGACCCATGCTGATGGAGAAGCCCACCACGGGGACTCATGAGCTCGCTCAGACACAGGAATATCAAAATACCTTTTTATTTGAAACCTGAACTGTCCCATCACAGCCCACCTCCTTGGCTCCTTTCTCCAGATAACCGCTACAAGCATCCTGGTTGCTCCAGACCTGCTTGAGGTCTGTCCCCGATCTAGGCTCCAGACAGACCTTAGGGCTTTAGGCCCATAGAACAAGCCACACAAAGATGACCACCAAAAAGCCTGGGCCTTGGGATATGATGGATTTTCAGTTCGGAGACAAAAGGCAGCCAGCATCTCCCCCTTCCTATCACAGGTCTGTGAGTGTGGTGGTACCCCACCGGAGTCTCATCAATTCTTGAGGCCAGTGTCTTGGTCTCCTGGAAGAAAGGAACAGAGTGAAGCTTGTGCCCACATCCCTAGGCTTCTCAGTCTCCGCTTCACTCTGCCCTCCTTTCGCCTCCCCACCTGTGTCCTGTTATTTTTAGACTCAGATTTTTAGTGCAGGATCTTTTCCCTGGCCCAGCCGCATCTCCTTTCCTCATGAGCTCCTCCATGCCCCTTAGTAACCGTCTCTGCCGGGTATGGCTGCACATCAGCTCCTCTGCCTGCCATTCCAATTCTCACCTTTCTGGTCTCCTGTATCTTTTATCAGCTCTTCCTGGGCCTCTCATCTTTTCTTCATACCTAAGATACTTCCAACCCCTAACTCTGGTCTCTGCTAAGGGTTCTCCTGGCCTCTTCCGTGTGGCCAGCCTTTAACCTTCCGCCGCCCTGGCATTTCCCTTACCATCTGTGTAGGCTGGGAGGGCAGCTAAGCTGGTGGCTGGTATGGTTCCATGTCATGATCTACATCCTGTTCTTGTTCCTGTTCCTCCTTCATCCTCTGACGGATCTCCTCTGCCTCAGCGCGGTCCTCATCCTCAAAGAACTCTTTGTCTAGGCGCTCTAGGTGCGCCATCTGCACCAGGGCCTCCTGGCGGTAATCGGTCTCATCTGCACACGGGTTGTCCAACATCACCAAGGCTCGAAGCTTCGGCAGGTCCCGCAGCTTGGCCATCTCCCCTATGTCAGCAATCATATTGCTCCTGTGGATGAGGTCATGAGGACTCAACTCAGAAAATGAACTTTGAATGGTAGCTAGGAACTGGGCTTCCTCTGTAAGAACACCTCCGGCCGGGCCCTAAAAGCAATGACTGTTGAGGACTGGTCGGCCAGGTGTGGCCAGATTTTGCCTGATGCAATTCCCCAATTCCACCTCTACTATTCAAGGAATCCCTAAATGCCAACGTCTACTCTGTGATGTGTCATCTTGAAACTGTGGAGCGGCAAAGTTAGGCCTCAGCCTGTCTTGTATTTGGAGAGGAAGGACGAATGTCCCTTATAGAAGCAGACATTTTCTATCAGCCACACCACAACAGAAGTTAGAAGATTCAGGTCAGCAGGGAAGGAGTTTATGCCTAAGTGTGGGGTGCTGTGGAGTTGGGGTGTTGTGTGGGTGCTTCCTTCAGTAAGGAACCCAGAGCCAGGGATGGATTGGGTCTCTCAGCTTGAATAAAAAGGTCAGGCCTCTAACGTACTTCTTTCTGAGACTCTGTATGGAATGGCATGTTCCTGGCTTTCAAACAATAATGAAATCATTTTTAAGTATTCCAGACTAATCTCAATAGATGTTGTGGGCCTTGAGGAATATTGCTTACTTTGAGCTCTCGGTATTTTATTAGGCTCCATACATATTTTATATGCACGAGGCCCTGGGTTTGATTGATAGAACCACAAAAAAAAAAAAAAATCAGATAATTGTCTATCAGAAAAGAGATGCTGAGAGAAAAATCCCTCTGGCCATTCATCTTCTTCCTCTTCCTCCTTTCTTTGTGTGTGTGTGTGTGGGGGGGGGAACAGAGCCTGGCTATGCAGTCCAGGCTGTCCTCGAACTCACAGACATCCTCTTGCCTGAGCCTCCTAGGTGCTGGAACTATAGGCATGAGCCACTACATCCCATTCCTTTTGTTGCTGTTACTGGTTTGGTTTTGCTGTTGTTTACTTTTTGGTTTTGTTATTGGTTTTGGCAGAGTCTCACTATGTACCCTAGCTCGCAAAGAACTGCTCACTATTTAGACCTGGCTACCACCTCAAAATTGTAGCAATCCTCCTGTTTTTGATCTCCAAGTGCTAAGATTATGGGCATGTGCTACCACATCTGGCCTTGTTTTTTTCTTTTCTTTTCTTTTTCCTTTTTTGGTTTTTCAAGACAGACTTTTGCTATGTAACCCTGACTGTCCTGAAACTCACTTTGTAGACCAGGCTGGCCTCGAACTCACAGAGATCCACCTGCCTCTGCCTCCCGAGTGCTGGGATTAAAGGCGTGTGCCACCACCGCCAGCTACATTTTATGTTTAATATCAGTTAAGAGCTGTCCTCTACAAGTAATGTTCAGTTCAGGAAGAAAGAGACAAGAAATGGAAAGAATAATTGGGGCCTAGGAGAGTGAGAAGGGCATTTCTATAGGTTACAGACAGGAAAATGGCATTGGAGTCAGACTATAAATTGCTTCAAAACAGGAGTTAGCAACATAGTGATGAATGCCTATAACCTCAGCCACCCAGAACATTGAGTTCAAGAGACGGGGCCAGCCTGGGTAATGTAGCAAGACCCCCAAGTTTAAAAATGAATAAGAAGCTAAGCACAGTGGTGAACATTTTTAATCCCAGCCCTCGGGAGGTGGCGGAGGAAGATCTCTGAGTTCAAGGCCAGAGAAACCCTGTCTGGAAAAACAAAAAACAAAACAAAAAGAAAAGAAAAGAAAGAAAAAGAAGAAAAAACAGGGGGAAAACTTCTGATTCTTTTAGCTGTTCCTGAAACATAGCATAGGCCCAACTAAACATAGTATATTCTTTTTCATTATGGATTAAATTAACATAAGGGTTCAGGGCTCCCAAGAAGATCTTTGTGTTGCTCTTTGAACCAACTACAGAAGAAAGAAAAGGAAAGCAGAAGACCAGACCCAGAAGGAGAACAAGGTATGGACCCAGCTGTGGGTTACTGGGAGAGGGCCACTGGCTCAGAAGTTGCTCTTGGTGATGGATGGGTACAAAGTGGGTCTTAGGGAAGATGCACACCCGTACCTCAAGTTCAGGTACTGCAGTGATTTCATTTCCTTGGAGAAGCCATCCAAAGTTTCAATCTGGTTGTCTCGAAGATGCAAGGTGGTCAGATTGCTGAGGTTCTCCAGGCCTTCCACCTTCTTCAGCATGTTTTGAGCCTACACCCAGCATCCAACACATTGACTCAGAGAGGGGAGCTGAGAGCGGGGAGCTGGGAAAGGATGATGGAGCAAAGAAGAAAGCCAAGAAGAGAGGGAGGAGTGGAGTAGGGACAGATAAGGGAGTGTGGTATAGAGAATAAAGAAGTCCAAATCTAGGTGTGGCGGCCCGCCCCTCCAATCCTAGTATTCAGGAGGCAGAGGCAGGAAGATTGAGAAGCCAGCCTGGGCTACCTAGTGACTCTGCAGGCATGCCTGGACTATAGTGTGAGACCCTGTTTCAAATACCACCCCTTAAAAAAGACAAAGAAGGGCCAGCAGGCCTGCTCCATGAGCCAAGCCTGGCCACCCCAGGTCATTCCCCAGTACCCACGGTGGAAAGAACTCCTGCAAGTCGTCTTTGACTCCATCTGCGTGCTGTGCTGTGCTGTGCTGTGCGTGCATCCCCAAATAAAGAAGTAATTGTAAAGTCACTTTGATTTGAAAAGGGAAAGAAGTCTAAAGACTAGATTTCCCCGAACTACAAAAAAAATGATGATGATAAAATAATAATAAAAATGTTACTGGAAACTAGAAACACATACTTGTTTCTGGGCTAGGGAGGCAGTTTGGTGGCTGAGCATTCCTATAGTGTATACAAGGAACTAGTTTCAATCCTTACTACAAAAAAAAAAAAAAGAAAAGAAAGAAAGAGAGGAAGAAAAGATAGACCAAAGGAAAACAAAAAAGAAGCTTCCACTAACAAAAGCTCAGCTGTATCCCTCCTGCTATGCATCCCATCAAGAGCTGCTTGAACCACTGAGGCATTGCTGTAGTACCATTCCAGAAAGCAGCATGTCCAGCCTAAATGGACAGACACTTAGAGCCTGGTATGGTGGTGCACAGCTGTGACCCCAGCACTCGCTTAGGGGACAGACAAGAGGACAAGTCTAAGCTGCATAAGGAGTTCAGACCAGTGTAGACTATACAGGGAGATCCTGTCTCAAAAATAAGGTAAACTTGGGGCCAGAGCAATGGCTCAGCAGTTAAGAGCACCCACTGCGCCGGGCGGTGGTGGCTCACGCCTTTAATCCCAGCACTCGGGAGGCAGAGGCAGGCGGATCTCTGTGAGTTCGAGGCCAGCCTGGGCTACAGAGTGAGTTCCAGGAAAGGCGCAAAGCTACACAGAGAAACCCTGTCTCGAAAAACCAAAAAAAAAAAAAGAGCACCCGCTGCAGTTTCAGAAGACCCAGGTTCGGTTCCTAGCACCCGCACGGCAGCTCACAACCATCTGTAACTCCAGTTTCAAGGGATCTGACCTCCTTCCTGATCTCCAGGGGCACCAGACACACACATGGCACTACCCATACATACATACATACATATATATATATACATACATACATGTAGACAAAACACTCATAGACATAAAAATAAATACCCTTTAAAAGTAATAAAAACAAAACAAGATATTGTGGCATACATCTGCAAATCCCAGCACTTGGGAGACTGAGGCAGGAGGATTACTGTGAATTCTAGGCCTGCCTGGATTACATAGGCCAGCCAGGACTACATGGTATGGTCTTTAAAAACCAAGTAAAAGGCAAACAGACAAAACGCAGGCCATGGAGACGGCTCAATCAGTAAAATTCTTGTCATGAAAGCACGAGGACCCATGTTCGTGTCCCCAGCACTCATGTAAAAAGCCAAGCTTGGGGGTATACAGTCTGTAATGCCTGCTGTTGGGGTAGAGACAGGTAGACCCCTGGAGCCTACGGGCCAGGCAGACTGATTAATAAGGAGCTTCAGGTTCTATGAGAGATCCTGTCTCAAACACAAGGTAGAAATTCACTGAGAAAGATGCTTGAAGTCCACCTCAGGCTTCCACACACAGCACAGCTGCACACTTGCACGCACATGTGTGCACACTCAATGGTGGCCCACGCCTTGAATCCAAGCACTTGGGAGGCAGAGGCAGTCAGATTTCTAAGTTCGAGGCCAGCCTGGTCTACAAAGAGAGTTCCAGGACAGCCAGAACTGTTACACAGAGAAACCCTGTCTCAAAAAAACAAAACCAAAAATATAGTTGATTATAATGGTCCATACTGGAATCCTGGCACTTGGGACATGGGGGCAGGAAGATCAGGAGGAATTCAAGGTCATCCTCAACTATGTAATGATTTCAGGTCAACTTGGGCTACATAAGACCCTGTCTCAGGCTGGGCAGTGGTGGTGAATGTCCTCCAGCACCTGGGAGGCAGGGGCAGGTGGACCTCTGAGTTCAAGGCCAGCCTCATCTATAGATCGAGTTCCAGGACAGCAAAGACCACAGTTTAAACCCTGTCTTAGCCCCTCCCCCAAGAGACTCTGTCTCAGTAAATAATAAATGGCCTCCTTAGTCTGCTTTCTTTACCTGAATAGCACGTTTTGCAACAACCTGTATTAAGGCATTCTCTCTGCATTTTCCACACATCATGCCCTGCTAGGTTGGATGCCTCCCTTTCTCACTCCTCTCCCTTTTCCTCTAAGAGACAATCTTATTAGCCTAGGCTGGCCTCTAACTCTCAGCTGTCCTCCTTACTTGTCCTCCCAAATACTAGGACAATAAGCGTAAGCCCGTATGTATTGTCTTGACTTTACATTTCCACAGCGTCAGACACCATGCAAGGGCTGGCCATCCTCGTGGTGAGGAAGCTAGCAGCTGAGGCTGTTGGAAGCCAAGGCTGTGCTCCCTTCCCTGCACCACCCTAGGGCCCCAGGAGCTACCAGGAAGAGATTCTTCAGCTTAGGAAGGCCGATTCCCAATGTGCTTTCTATCTGGTTCCCCCGAAGCTCCAGGGTATGCAGGCTAGTCAGTTTTTCAGGGTCCAGCCCCGTCACATGGTGGATGCGGTTCCCTGCAGAAAAGGGAATTAAGAGCTCAAAGGTCCGTTCTGAGTGTTCAGCACTGGAAATCTTGGCCCTCTGTATCCTCTCTCCCTCTAATGCAGGGTAGAAGGGAAGAGGAATAACCCCAGATTAACATCTTTGGGGCCCCGTAGCAAGTGGGCCTGAAGGATTTATCTGTCTGTACTTGGGGAATGAATTAGTGATACCTAAGCCACACACGCAGCTGACTTCCTTCCCTCCTGCACATTTTTGGTCAAATGATGTTTTCCCTAAACAAACAATTTGAAATTGTCATCTGTGCTGGGCCTAGTGGTTCAGATTTATAGTAGTATAGTAGAGTAAGTCAGAGCTGGAGAGATGGCTTAGTGGCTCAGAACACTGCCTGCTCTTCCAGAGGTTCTGAGTTCAATTCCCAGCAACTGAATGGCGGCTCACAGCCATCTGTAATGGGATCCAATGCCGTCTTCTAGTGTGCAGGCATACATGCAGACAAAGCACTCGTACATAAAATGCATGAATAAACCTTAAAAAATCATATAGAAGATTTTTTTTAAAAAGTTATAATAGAACTGGGGATATGACTCAGTGGAAGAGTAAGAGGTTGTCACCTGTGCCTTTCACAGTGGTATTTCCCCAGTCTATTCTTCTGTAGAATTTATTTCCTTTGTGAGTTATGTTTTCTGTTTTATTTTTTAGACAGGGTCTCACTCTGTAGGCCAAGCTGACCTCTAACTACCTGTGAAGCCCAGACTGGCCTTGAACTCCAGATATCCTACTTTCACCTCCAGCACAGAGGGACTGGAGTTGCAAGCCAACAAATCCGGCTTATACTTACTTATTACCTTGTTGCTAACTGGCCATCACCCTAAACTAGAATGGGCTCTGCCTAAGAATAGAGATTTTTGGTTTTGCTCATTGCTGTATCTCTCACATGAAGAACTATCATAAAGAATATTATAAGGAGGGGCTGGAGAGATGGCTCAGTGGTTAAGAAGCATTGGCTGCTCTTCCAGAGGACCTAAGTTCAGTTCCCAGCACCTACATCAGGCAGATCACAGGAGTTCTGGCACTTTCTTCTGGTTCCCACCTACACATATTCACACACATGTAATTAAAAATAAAATTTAAAAAGAATATTATAATGAACTATAATAAGTGTCTTTTTTTTGGGGGGGGGAGCGGGAGGCCTCATGTAAGTATAGGCAAGGCTTTAATACTGAATTATAGCCCCAGTCCTGCAGGTGTCCTAACAAATAAATGACTGAATCCATACAAACAGTTGTGTGACTAAGCCAAGAGTCATATACTGCCTACTCCTGTTGGCCCCACGCTAGGAAGGGAAGTTCTGTGTATCTCTTCCTAAGGATCCACCTTTGAGATCCAGGCTTCCTAGACGGGGATGAGAGATGCCTTCAGTGTCCATGATCTGGTTGTAGGAAAAGCTGGCGATCTGCAGGTAGGGCAGCTCATTCAGCCGGGCACTCCGAAGCTGATTGCCGTCAGCCTTGAGCCACAGTAGGTGGGTGAGAGAGTTGAGCGGTGACAGGTCTGTGAGGTGGTTCTCAGAAATATCCACGTAACGAAGATGGATGTAGGAGCGCAGAAGGTTGATGTCTGTGAGGTCCCTAGGAGAAGGCGGCGGGGAGATCCACCATCAGGGGTCAGAACCCAGCGAGAACTGGAAGAGGGCCTTAGACAGAGGGCAGCAGGGACAGCTCACAATGGGCGACAGAGTGGGAAGGGGAAGAGGAGGGAGGTGGAGCTTTGCTCTTGTTTTTCAGTGCGGAGATCAAAACCAGTGCCTTGTACATGCTCGACAGGCCTTCACTGTGGAGTCTTTGCCTGGGCTTGGAGACATAGCTCAGTGGTGAGAAGGCTTGTCTAGCATGTACAAGGCACATCCAGACCACGGACACTGAAGGCATCTTTCATCCTTCCCTTCTCGTTAGATCAGATGAGAGAGACACGAACTCTGGCCAAAACCCTCAGGAATGAGAGAGGGGAGGCTTCTGGTGCTCTGGTTTCTCAGGTCTCACCTGTCTTTAGCCTCCAGCTTAATATAAGCGTGAGCCAGCCCACTGCCAGTCTTGCAGAGTAAAGAAAGTCCTTCCTTCATCATGGCCTCCGTGAGCGGGGTGGGCATCCACTGCAAGAGGAGGGCAGTAAGGGCATCATCCCTTTGCAGCTCCCCTCTGACACCGAGCCCCGGGACCCTTCCTCCAGGCTCTCACTTCCTCGGAGACTTCTTCTCCCTCCTTCCTGTAGTCATCCCACTCGTCCATCTCCTTCTCATCTTCTTCTTTTTCCAGATCATCCTGGTCTGGCTCAATGTCATCCAGATCATCTTCATCCGACATCTTTCTCCCCTCTGCCCTCTGGAGTCAGGTGAAACTCAGTTCTGCTGCTGAGAAAGGAGATCTTAGCTCCCACTCCACCAAACCCTCTCGTCCCTCACCTCCATTTACAGGTTCCCTGTACAGCGGACCTCCCACCTGTGCGTCCTTCCTCATCCTGCAGAACATCCTCGGACTCCCAACCTGTGCTTGGAGGTTCTAGCTCCCTTCAGGACACTTTCCCATACTCCTGGACCTTTCCTGCCTTCACAGTGGCTCCAACTCTGCCGCAGCAACCCAGTGTCCCTGCTTCCTGAATTCCCTTTGACAGAGTTCTACACGTCCTCCTAAAATCTTCCTCCACTAACCCCTCCTCCTCTCTCTTACCTACACCCCACCTCCGGGTTCCCTTCCACCCCCAACCCCTGCTCCGTTCATTTCTTCTAATGCGATCTCTCTGCTTAACGCCATTGCCCTGACGCACAGCCTCCAACCCTCCAACCCAATTTGTCTTCGGAGCGGGGCACAGACCCTGGTTCTCTTGCTCTAGAAGTAGTTATGGAGAGGATCTTGGTGCTGAGAGGCCAGGTCTGTTTTTTGGAAGACGCAACTGGGGTGTGGGGCGAGCGGGTAGTTAGGATTGTATATCGTTGTTATGGCAACGGAGGCGGGGACGCTTGGCTTTGCTGCTAGCTTCCGTTAAGAAACCAGAGTAACCCAACCGTAAAGCACAAACCCCGACGCCCCTACAGCTACCTTCAGCGGGTAGTTAGTTCAGTGGTTGCCAAGTTACCAGGCCAAATTCCCAATCCCACGTACCTGGAGGAGGCAAGAAGGGTGTCACGCGGGTAATTGTCCGAGGACATAAAACACAATGGTCCACTTCTAACAGTCTTGCAGAGAGGTGGGCGGGAGGCCGGGCTGGCCATTATGTCCTTAAAGGGACCAGATGTCAGGTGCGAAGGTATTGCGCTTTAGACTCTCCCTAAGAAGCAAAGCGGGGTTGGATGAGTGGTTAAACTGGGAGAAGCAAGAAATGCTACGGTGTGGCATCTGTGGCTGCTCGGGTTCGGCTCACTCGTTATTTTCTTAGGAGGCCTTGGAAGGTGGCCTGACAGAGCAGAAGCCCAGGCCAAGCTACCTTAAGACTGGCTTGCAAGAGAGATGGCTCAGCGATTAAGGGCGGTGGCTGGTGGCTGTTCCCTTAGGATTCCCAACAATCACATGCCATCTGCAACTCCAGCTCCAGGGAGATCTGATGCCCGCTCTGATCTCCAAGTGCACCAGGCATGCATGTGGTACACGTACATATATGCAGGCAAACGCTCATACACATAAAATAATAAAATTAATAAATCTAAAAAAAAAAAAAATTAAAGGCCCGGCTGTGAGTCTGGACAGATCTGCAGTTTACTAGCATTTATCTGAGATTCTGTAGAATAAACTTGGCCTTGACAATTGGCGGGAGTCTGCTGAGTTACTCTGGGTTTTTGCTGTTGCTGTGTTTTGTTTTGTTTTGAGAGAGCCTTTCTGCGCAGGCCAGGCTGTTTTGAAGCGACTCTCCTCTTTTCTCGGCCTCCCAAGGGCTGGGATGACAGGTGTGTGCTACCATGCCCAGCTAATGCTATCTTGCGGAATCCAAGGAAAACAGAACAATTAGGTAGTACAGGAAGATATGGGACTTATCATGTTACACACTTTAGATAAAGTGCAAATTGGAGGCTAGAGGGACGGCTCAGTGGTTAAGAGCGCTCCTGAGCTTGCGGGGGACTCAGGTGTGATTTTCAGCACCCACAAATGGTGGCTCCTTATCCTCTATCACGCCATCTCCAGGGGATCCAATGTCTCAGGCCTCCATGTTCATACCCCCCCCCCCCACACACACACACACAGTTAAATCTTTTTAAAGGTTGCAAAGTGGTCTGATGCTGTATGGGCTGAAAGTCAGGAAGTGTTCCTTTGGATCGATCTAGACTGAGGAACAAAATAGACAAATCTGTCCATTTGGTGTCAATGAACTAACCCAGGCTTTAGCGACAGCAGGAACTTGAAAGTATAAACACTAGGTTCCAAACAGTTCTGTCACTCAATAGCTGTGTGTTCTTCAGGTTATGTCACACAAGCCTGTATTATCTAAACTGTACTGCTGAATTATGCATGGTGACACACAGCTGTAAAGAGGAGCTCTCTGGAAGCTGAAGCAGGAGGTTGTTACAGGCTAGCTTGGACTACCTCAAAATGAAGCAGCATACACCTCAGGATTAGAGAATTTCCAAAAGACAAAATAAATGGTTTTTCTTTAAGAAAGCATTTTTTAATTAATTAACTTTTTTAATGTGCATTGGTGTTTTGCCTGTGTGAGGGTGTCGGTTCCCTGGAACTGGAGTTACAGACAGTTGTGAGCTGCCATGAGGGTACTGGGAATTGAACCCAGGTCCTCTGGAAGAGTAGTCAGTGCTCTTAACCACTAGGCCATCTCGCCAGCCCCACAACTGGTTTTTCATTTGTTTGACCATTAGTAAAGAAACTCCTGGCCCTGACTTTCTCTTCAGTATTCTCAGTACTGAGGTTGTTGTGAAGAAAAGAATGAAAAATGATATTTTGAGATAGGATGTCACTCTGTAGCCCAGGATGGCCTGGAATTCAGTGTGTAGCCCAGGCTGGCCTCAAACTCACAGTAACCCTGCCTCAGCCTCCAAAGTGCTGGGCATAGGGGTAAAAGAGTAACTTTTAAAGTACTCTGAAAGCTGGAAGAACTTTGCAAATGTAAATGATTGTATTTAGCCCGTCATGGTGACACAGTCATGTAATTTCAGGCATTCGTTGCTGAGATGCACCAGATTTTTCTTTTGGACCACCACCAACCAGCTCCCAAATCATGACATGGAGACTTCTTATTAGTTATAAATGCTTGGCTTAGTTAGGCTCCTTTCTGGCTAGCTCTTTTAACTTAAATTAACCTGTTTCTCTTTATCTACCTTTTACCTCAGGGCTTTTTACCTTTCTTTCCTTCTGTGTATCTGACTTTCACTGCTTCTCTATGTCTGTCTGTCTGGCAGCTACCTGGCTTCTTACCCCAGGCATGTCCATCATTCTCTCCTCCTTCTTCTGTTCTTCTCATTCCTTCCCCCAGAGCCGAGATTCCTCCTCCTCCTCCTCCTCCTCTTCCTCCTCCTCCTCCTCCTCCTCCTCCTCCTCCTCCTCCTCCTCCTCCTATTTATCCTCTCTGTCTGCTAGACCTGCCTATCCTTTCCCTGCCTAGCTATTGGCCATTCAGCTTTTTATTAGACCTATTAGGTGCCTTAGGCAGGCAAGGTGAAACAAATACAACATGTCTTTACATCATTAAATAAATGCAGCATAAACAAAGGTAACATGTCTTTACATCATTAAATAAATGCAGCATAAACAAAGGTAACATGTTTTTACATCATTAACAAAGGCAACAGAAACAAGTGTTAACAACTTTCACATAGTTAAGGTAATATTCTGCAGCATAAACAAATGTAACACATCTTTGCCTAGTTAAAATAATATTCCACAACACTGAGGCTATAAATTCAAAGCCAGCCTAGACTACACAGTAAAGTCAAGGTTAACTTTGTCAAGGGAACAAGAAAGGAGGCACAGCTCCACTCTGCCACCTTCGGCAGTCTGAGGAATTCCCTTAATCCCTTAGGTACTCAGGGACCGCAGGTCAACCTTGGATTCATGGCTTCAATAGGTAAAGTAACCCTAGGCTAGCCCATAAAATCTCAATAGTATGGATGGTTAAATTAAACAAAAATCAAACAATGACAACACCAGTGGATGTGCCAAGGTGGATGAGGAGCATCTCACACAGCCCCACCCCTAGATGAAGAGCTGAAAGAATTGATCTTCCCCAGGGATGAGGCTCCTAAAAGTCACCAAGTGGTCAGCCCCAGAAACATACAAGCACCAGGAACATTAAACAGACCTGTCAGGTTGCATTTATATACTTAGTTACATATATATGTATATATAACAGTAATAATTAGAAAGAGGCCATAGGAGAGACGGAAGAAGGGGAAGGAGGTATAAATTGTATAATTATGTTTTATTTCTTTTTTTACATTTTATAAAATCTTTATTGACAAATAATTCACATAGTACACAATTTGCCTGTTTACACAATTTGATAGACTTTACTCCAGCATCCTCATAGGCCCATGACACCATCACCACTTTCTATTTTAGAACATCGCTGTCTTCAATTTCATACACACATATAATGTATGGTGATTACATTCCACCTTATTTTTTTAAGTGAACATAATATTTACAATTGTAACCATTTTTAAGTTCACAATTCAGTGGCATGAATTACATTTTTTTTTGTTTTGTTTTTTTCGAGACAGGGTTTCTCTCTGTAGCTTTGCGCCTTTCCTGGAACTCACTCTGTAGCCCAGGCTGGCCTCGAACTCACAGAGATCCGCCTGGCTCTGCTTCCCGAGTGCTGAGATTAAAGGTGGCACCACCACCGCCCGGCTACATTCAAGATATTAATAACACTCATTATATTCATTAATTACACTCATGATATTAATTGCATTTGTGGTATTCATGGAGGAGGTGTGTCACGGTGGAGGTGGGCTTTGAGGTCTCATATATGCTCAAGCCACGCCCAGTGTCTCAGTTCACTTCCTGATGCCTGTGGATCAAAGAGGTAGAATTCTCAGCTCCTTCTCCAGCACCATGTCTGCCTGCCTGCCGCCATGTCCCACCATGATGATAATGGGCTGGACCTCTGAACTGTACGCCATCCGATTGAATGTTTTACTTTGTAAGAGTTGCTGTGGCCATGGTGTCTCTTCACTGTAACAGAAACCCTAATGAAGGCATCATGTCTCCATAATTTCCCCATCTCTCTACCCTGCTCAGACTGGGCTGCATAGCAAGACCCTGTCTCAGAACAATAACAAAGAGATTAATTCGCTGGAGAAGGGAAAGACCCAAGTGTTAGGGTGTAATTAATGGGAAAGAGTATGGGTTTTATTTGAGAAGAAATAGGTAGACATATTAGATGTATCTTTCAGTGCATTTTTGTTAGACTCTTACTCTGGGGCAGGTTTTGAGAGCTAAGTCCCCAGGGACAAGCCTGGTACAGTCTCTGCCTTTTCAAGGGGTTTACAGTGTTTTGATTAAATACACACATAATCCAGTACAGTGAAACAGGGGCTGCCATAACACTGGCCAGCAGAATGGGGCTCTGTCTGAGTGGCAGGTGAGTTTTGCTATTGTTGTTGTTTCTGTTTTCCAGGCTGGAGATGGAACCCAGGGCCCTAAGCACGCGCTAAACATTCTACCACTGAGCCACACCCTAAGCCCAAGGAGATAATTTTACAGTATTCGTGTATATACAATAGCATATATTTGGGGCAGATTCCAGACTGAGGAGGTACCTGTTTCACAGGCCTGAAGAAAGAGCTCAGTGCCTGCTCGAGGAAAGCAGGTGGTCCTCCTGGCTGGAACAGGAGGTGCCATGCGGGGGTGTGTACTACGGGAGGGAAAACAGAGCTAGATCCCTGTGAGCAGCTTGGACTGTATCCTGGAAGCTGCAGGGAGCCACTGAAGGTTTTGTTTTGTGTTTAGTTGGCAAGGGCTACCTCTACACTATGCAGTCAGAGCTAGATTCTCCAGCACGATGGATAGCCTTCCCCCAGTGGCTGGTCAAGTCAGAATATACTTCGATTACAATGGCTCTGGTTTATAATCCTAGCACTTGGAAGACTGAGGCAGGAGGATTGCTTCAAGTTCCAGGTCATTTGATTTGGGCTATATATTGAGATTAC